CATCTCAGATCTTATCCCCAAAATATTTGCTGTGCCTTACAGATTACCTAAAGTTTTCTAGATAAAATTTTTCCTACCTGTTGATTACCTCATTCTTACCTCAAATCCTTCTCTTCCCTATAGACTAATCAAATTTGCACACCATTTTGTCTCCTACAGTTTAAGTAGATTTTACCATCCAAAAAACAACTGATTGCCTCTATTTTATACATAAATCATTAAAGAAGATCCTGCGAGACGGGACAATGTTTTTTATCATGCCAATGTCCTCGGCAGATGCTTCCCTGGTGCCAACAGAGGAAAAACCAGTGGAGGCTTTTATGAATTGAAGCCCGACCTGGTCACTGCCACATCATCAACTTGAACCGAGGGTGTAAAACCAGCAGCAGATGCGTGGTTTAACCAGTTATTCCCCGAAAACCCAGAGCATCCTGGTTGCTATAGAGACACGTGGCCCTTTCCTTGCTCCTGATGTCGTTCTGGGGACTGCTCCTTTGCAGCACAGGGAGTGAGGAGCAGTGTCTGTTATCCCTGGGGAGGAGAAATGAGACCCTACAGGTAAGCGAAAAGCAGAGGAAACACAACTCCCAGCCTCTCTCAGCAGTGTGACGGGTGCAGAAGCCACTTTGTGGCTTGGTTTGAAAAGTAAAACTAGTGAGAGGCTCTAAATCAGAAATATCATTTATTAGGAAAAGGAAACAAAGCACTAAATATATATAATAGTATAAAAGAAGAACCACTGACAGAGTTAGAGACACAACCTGACACTTGCTGGCTTGGGCAGTGGTAGCAGATATGGTTCTGTCTGAGCAGTGCTCCTGTAGACTGATGGAGGGAGGAAGGAAGAGGAAGGAAGGAAGGAAGGAAGGAAGGAAGGAAGGAAGGAAGGAAGGAAGGAAGGAAGGAAGGAAGGAAGGAAGGAAGGAAGGAAGGAAGGAAGGAAGGAAGGAAGGAAGGAAGGAAGGAAGGAAGGAAGGAAGGAAGGAAGGAAGGAAGGAAGGAAGGAAGGAAGGAAGGAAGGAAGGAAGGAAGGAAGGAAGGAAGGAAGGAAGGAAGGAAGGAAGGAAGGAAGGAAGGAAGGAAGGAAGGAAGGAAGGAAGGAAGGAAGGAAGGAAGGAAGGAAGGAAGGAAGGAAGGAAGGAAGGAAGGAAGGAAGGAAGGAAGGAAGGAAGGAAGGAAGGAAGGAAGGAAGGAAGGAAGGAAGGAAGGAAGGAAGGAAGGAAGGAAGGAAGGAAGGAAGGAAGGAAGGAAGGAAGGAAGGAAGGAAGGAAGGAAGGAAGGAAGGAAGGAAGGAAGGAAGGAAGGAAGGAAGGGAGGAAGGGAAGGAAGGGAAGGAAGGGAAGGAAGGGAAGGAAGGGAAGGAAGGGAGGAAGGGAAGGAAGGGAGGAAGGAAGGGAGGGATCACATCCAGGCTTTCCTGCCTTGCTGTTTACATACCAGCTGGCACTCTCCATGCAAACCCATCCCCATCACCTTGGCTCACTGGCAGCCGCTGAGGAGCAATGAACGATGTTGATCATCACACTTAAATGCCAAGAGAACTTGCATTTTGCTGTCTATGCCACATGCGTAGCGGAAGAACTATGCCAGGAATGTGAAAGAAAGCTGAAAGTTTTTATGGGGAGTAGTTTTTTGGATCTCTCTCTCTGCTTGCAGAGCCAGATGTCTTTCAGCTCCTCGGTGTCTAACATTACAGAGCTCTGAGGGAGCTGGGTGAATTTCTGCACTTCAGTGAAAATAGTCATTTCTGTAGGATTTAATGCTCCAGACCCTAAGGCTGTCCTGCAGGGACAGTGACAGCCGGTGTCCCCCAATGCTCCTGGGCTGCTCCCAGTAGGATGCTCTCACTCCCTGCCCTCTTGGAGCACAGAGATGTGACCTCACCAGCACAGCACCTCAGAGTGGGACCAATCTGTATGGGGACAAAGTGGAGTCTGGGGAGAAAGGTGCTGACCTTGAAGCCAGTTTTTAGCTGAGGATAACAAAGAGGAACGTTGCCACAAGGTGGTCGCAGAGATGGAGCCAGGTTCATTAAATGATGGGATGGTGAGAGCTGGGGCAGGAGAGGTTTGGAGTGGATAAAAGAAGGAACAATTTCTCCAGTAGAGCAGTGAGCAGAGAGGTTTACAAGCTCTATCCTTGGAGATTTGCGGGATAAAGCCCTGACCACCCCGTGGTGCCCGGGAGGGGACTCACCTTGGCCCAGAGGGGACAATTTCGCGGCGTGTCTGTGAGCTGCCAGGACCTCACTTCCCCCCCCTTCCCCACCCCAGCGCTCCCGAGGCTGGGGCCGGCAGCTCCCGGTTTCCAGTGGCGTGCCGGGGTGGGGACAGCGGGGGCGGCCCGGGGACCCTGCCCGGCCCCGCCCCGGGACCCGCGTCCCGGCGCCGGGAGCGCTCCCCCCGCCGCTGCCCCGGGAGGGAGGAAGGAAGGAAGGAAGGAGGGAGGGAGGGAAGAGAGGAGGAGGGGAGGGAGGGAGGGAGGATGACAGCACGGTGAAGAAAAGCAGGGGACCCGCTGCTCTCTCTCCTCCCGCACGGCAGGACCGGGCGAGCTCGCCCCGCGGAGCTGCAGCCGCCGGGTAGGTGCGGAGCGGGTCGGGACCGACGGGGCCGGGGCCGGAGCGCAGCCGGGGGCCGGGACCGGCGCGATGGGCAGCGGGAGCCCCGGGCCGAGGGGGAGGATGGCGGCGGGGATCGAGTGTTCCCCAGCGCGGAGGGGAGTTGCGGGAAGTTGGGCGTGCGAGGAGGGGCCGCGGCTCAGCCGAGCCGAGCTCACCCCCCGCCCCGCCGGCGGGGAGCCCGGGGCTCGGTGGCCGCATCCCCCCGCGGGGCGGCCCCGGGCTCCGCCGGCTCCTTTGTGCGCCCTCCGGCCTCGGCCGCTCCTTTGTCTCGGTGCGGGGCCCCCGCCGGCCGCTCCCGCAGCGGGGCAGCGCCGGTGCTTCCCTTCCTCCTCTGCCTCCCTTCCCTCGGCGGACAGCCGGATCCCAGCGCCCTGCTGCCGAAAGTCCTCCCAGCACATGACTGCTCAGCAGCTCTCCCCGTGCCTTTCTTTCAAAAAAAAAAAAAAACGGGGAAAAAATATTCAATGGAATAGGATCGAGCTCTGCAGCGGCAGCGCCGAGCCTCAATCCGGAGCGGAGCGCGTTTGGGGCCACAGAAGGAGACTTTGGAAAAAGAGAGTTTCTCACAAGCATCCCGGAGTTGCATCATCCGTCCTGTCAGCCCCTAGCACTGGAAAGTTGTTCGCACCCTTTCCCCTCCTGTCCCGGGCCCCCGGGGCACGCCGGCCCTCGCCCGGCTGCCGGCGCCCGGAGCCAGCGACATTTCTGCCGGAGCTGGGACTCTGAGACCCCCACGGCCCCAGACCTGGATGGCATTGGGGGTACCTTGGGGGAAAGGCCATCCCAGCAGAGTGCCCCCTCAGTGCCCGCCGGGATTTCAGCAGCTGCTCCCGGCCGCACTGGGGACAGCTGCCCACACCCCACTGCCTTTGCACCGAGCCTGGCTGTGGTGCCTGGAGGAGAGCGTCTCCTTTTCCACAGCCAACCATTTACAACACTACACCAGGACAGGCATTTAACTCTGCAATTTTTCCACATCTGCCATGTTGCTTCGGCGTACGGCTCGATTTCACACCCCCAGTCCCCCTGGGCTGACTCGAGCACAGGTCACTGTCCCCTCGGCCAACATCTCTTGCCACCAGTCCCTTCTGCATCCCTGGAGCATTAGGGGCTGAAAGGGGAGCAGAGGCGGGCACAGAGAGTGCTGTATCGCTGCTTTTGGGGTGGCTTTGGCTGAGGAGCTTCCAGGCGAGCAGCGAGGGGAAGGAGTGTGAGGCGGTGGGAGGGACCGAGGGCTCTGCGCCCCAAAGAAAGGGCCCATTGAAGCAGGGACGGGCATTTGCGGTTCCCAGCGTGGCCGGGGGCCGCCGGCACGCACAGCAGCCGGCATTGTGCCACCGGCGCCGAGCAAACGGGGCCGGGCAGTCCTCTCACCCCTCTTGGTGGTCTGCTCTGCCGCTCCCCTCGCTGCCCAGCAGTTCCACGCCTTCAGCTGCTCGCCTTCGCTGCAGGTGGTGCTGCAAACCGTGTCTGTGGTTGCCCCCGGGTTGGTTTCGAGGTTGAAGGTGTTTTAGCCGAGTCCTGGTCCATCTCCAGCTCCAGAGGCTGGTCCGTGCCTGGCAGATGTACGTGTTTTATCCCCATGCCCAGCACTGATGTCTCTGAGCCCCGTCGGGTTCACCAGGGGCAGGAGCAGCAGCTCTCCTCTCTGCTGGGTCAGGAGAAAACTTGCTTTGGACACCACCAAGGCGAGGGAGAGAGAAGACCCGTCTGTCCTGGCCATGAAGCCTGTGCTGTTTCTGTCACCAACATTACTGTGCCCTCACCAGGCTCTACACCCCTTCTGCACAGCGGTTTTTGGGACATGAGGAACAAGGACAGCTCATCTGGGTCATCACAGAGAGCAGGTGGGACAGTAAGGAGCAGGAGACAACCTCATGCAGCTGGAGTTTGAGCTCGTGCAATGAATACAGTGTTGTTCCAGTGGTGCCTGTTCGTACCAACACCGTTCCTGCTGCTGCTCCTCCTGAGTGCAACCTCTGAGTCAGAAGGACTTTCCATTCCCAACTTTCTCCTCCAATGGGCACTTTCCAGGCTTCAATTTGATGAGCATTGTGACTATTCTCGGCAACTTTATAAACATTATAGGAGGTGACTTTTTTCCCCTTTTTTTTTTAGCTTGACTAGACATGTTTTTAACCAAAAAATACCTGCCTGGACAGGCTCCTCAGCTGCGCCACCGTGCAAACCGAAGCAATGTTGTGCTTGTGCCATGCCTTGGAGGACAGCCAGGACCAGGATGAAATTTGCTGGGAGATGAAAGCAAAGTGGGAAGCTCTGGTGGCACATTTCCCAAGGGCAGCTTCGGGAGGAAGTTGGGAGCGGAAATAGTTGAAAGAATAAATACAGAGGGTTTTTTTTTTCCCTAGGTTGCAGACAAAGAGCAGATAAGCCCGTGCTCCTTATCTCTTTGTTGTTCCGCCCCTGTGTTTTGCTGATCCGAGTGTCTGCTGGAAGTCTGATGAAGCAAAGGAGCGTGGAGGGAATTACTCAGTGCAGCAGCAGCGCCAGGGGCAGCGAGCTCAGCTGCAGGTCACTGTGGGCTTCCATGGAGGGATGCACGGGAGGGGATGGGGGCTGGATGGTCGGAAGGGTCTCAGGGAGGGAGGGAACTCGTGCACGTGGGTGTTTCATTGCCTTTCTGTGTCCAGAGCTCAGTTGTTGCCTGTTGAGTCACCAGAGGAAAATGTGACTTCATCCAGTCTCACCTCCAGCTGGCCGCCCCTGGCAGCCACAGGCATCTTTCTTTCCTGGATCTCACCTGGTGGGGGTCCAGGGCAGCCAGAGATGGGGAATGAGAGCCCCAAGGCTTTGTGTAAGACCTTCCCTTTCCCAAAAGAGTTCAAAACCCCTGCTCTGCTCTTCCAGTCAGACAGTCCTGTGGAATGCCCTGCAGAAGGGTGACACGAGCTTCCCTTCCCTCCTTCCTCTCACAGGGCCTCTGATCTTCTCACCCCACCTGCACCACCAGTGGGAACATCCATCCCACAAAGCAACTTGCTCCAGCAGACTGGAATGATTTGGTGTCTCCATTACTGTCCAAGTCCTTCCTTCTTGCTGTGGCAAGGTGATGTTAACTTGCTGGTAGTGACAGATCCCACCTGGTCAGATTTGCATGGGAACAAAATCCCCAACACCACCCAAAAAAAGTTTGTTTTCTGGCTTTAACTCATATGGGAAGTCCGTAAACCCTATCATCTCTGCAATGGAAATTGCAACCATCCCTGCTGAATTGAAAAGCACCCCCGGCCTGAGGGATAGGAAAAGGCAGGGAGCAGCATCTGAGCTGTGGGTGCTGCCATCACAGCATCTCAGTTTAGCATTCCTGGAAACGATTCCGCTTTGCTTTGGGATGTGGAGAGCCAGAGGACGCTGCTGGGGTCTCCAGGGATGATGTCCATCCATCTCTCTGCTCACACAGGTGCATTCCCCAGGAGTGGACACTGGCAGGGCAGCACCTGATGGTTCTCCTCATCCATCCCATGCCAGCAGAGCCCTGGAGGGAACGTGCAGGGCACACAGAGCCCCTCTGTTCCCCCTCACAAAGGGGCGCTTGTGGCTTGCGCAGTGCCCCAGCCGGGCTGTGCCTCGTGGGCCCCAGCAAGGAAGAGCTTTAGGATGCCAAGCAGCCTCCCCAGGTCACCCGCGTGTCCCCAGCCCCACAGCTCGGCCCTGAGGGGGTTCCCACCCCTGTCGCTGCCTTCCCGCGGGTCCCAGGCGGGATTTGCAGCCGGTTGTTTATTTAATGAATGATGTCTGCCCTGCGCCTGTGAATGAGGGTTTCGCCAGCGCTACCGGACATGGTTCTCTGTGTCACCCCTGTGAATAATTCCTGGTCTGTGGCTCATTTGTGGTCAGGCAGCTGCGGGTATTAGAGGGGAAAACCCAGGCTGGCTTTGCCCGGGGATTTGTCTGAGGAAGCGGCTGATGCCATCCCCTGTGTGTGGGGACTGTCCCCGGCCCCAGGCCAGGGCAGGGATGCAGATCACCGCCGAGGGTTGCTCAAATACTCCGACAAATCCTGTCATCGAGGGGGCACGACCGAGGAGGGGAGACATGAGGGGTGGCTGGTGAAAGGCACCTGCCTCGGCTGCTGGCCTGTCCCCGAGGAGCAGTGTGGTGACAAAATAAACTAACAGAGCTGTTACACAGACGTGTGCCGGGGATCTCGGTGCTGCTTGCTGAAAGGGAGAGCTAGGGGACCACTGTGGGAGGGCTCTGGGGCTGCCAGAGCTCTCCAGAATCCCTGCATCCCACTAAATCCTGAGTTTCCTGGGTGTGTGGGTGTGGATGTCTCTTTTTAGAAGGTTTTGCTGGAAAGGAGATGGCTGGAAGCCAAGCCTCGGGAGCTGAGTGGTTTCCTCAAGCTGAGAAATTTCTGGTCCTCACACAGAGAGGGCTGGGAACACAGGCTGGGGTGCTGCCCTGGGCACAGGACACATCTCACCCCTCCTGCCCATGCTCCCTCCTCCCCAGCCGGAGGGGCATTCAGCGAGCAGCACTAAAAAATGCACATTTTGGCTGAGCACGACGTGGAAGAGGTTGCGACGTGACGCAATGCCTGGCAGGGATTCCCCGCTCCACGCTCTGCCGGGGGCTGCAGATGCTGAGGCTTGGCCACGGATCTCCCCTCCAGCAAACCCCGGGGCCCCCCAAAGTCTGGGGCTCTGCCTGGCTCTCCTCCTTCACCCCTAAAGCAGGGCTGGGACGGGCTGTGGGTCGCACTGGTGGAGCCCAGCCAGGGCTAAACAGACTTGCCCTGAGTCACGGAGAGTCTGGCCAAGAGAGCAGCAGCAGCCATGCGAGCTGGCGGGCAGGTGGCAGGTGCCAGCACAGCCTAGAGGTGTAAATCTGCACACTGGGGACCTGCCCCAGAGCCCGAAACAGCAGCTGTGGCACCCAAAATCTCCCGCTGGGGTGTGGGTTTGGTGCGACTCAGAGCGCTTTCCAGCGACACCCTGATTCAGGCGCTGAAGGAGAGGGTGGGGAGTGGGTCTTTTCTGCTGGGTGGGGATGCCAAGTCTCCTGGTTTTGCATCCCACACCAAGCAGCTGCATCATCATTTGGGTTTTGTTTTTTCTTTCTTTTTTTCTTTTTTTTTTTTGGCAAAAACCACCCCCAGAGCATTCTACTCCCCGAGGGGGGCTGGCAGCAGCAGTGTTTTCCGGCCCGCCGTTGTTCCTGAAAACTCTCTGGGTTTCATTTTCGAGGCTCAGCAGCTGCTGCTGCCGTGCTGGGGGAAGGCGGAAGCTGCTCAGCCCCACACTGGGGCCCTACAGTGAAGCCTCCAACTCTCCCCTTTCCAGAGGTCGGGAGGCACAACGTGCCGAAGATCCGGATGATCCAGGGGCTCCCTCACTGGCAGCAGCAGGTTTTTGCCAGCGGGAAGCAGGCAGGGATTGGGTTTCGGGGTGGGCAGGAGCGGCTGGTGGAAGCGTGGGAAGGTGTCCTGTCGGGAAGATATATTTTGGGAAGGAGGAGGAGCAGCCGATGGGGCATTCAGGCCGCTGCTCCTCGGGGGTGGCATGGAGCTGTAGGGAGGAGCTTCCACTTTTTTATTGCCCTTGTCCAGCCTTTGTCAGCCTCTGACCCTACCTGCAGAGAACCAGCGCCATGCTGAGCCTTCTTCTCCCCACAGGCAGGGCTGGCAAGGTCCTAGGCCAAGACACCTTCCCGGCGTGCAGGAGGGACCTGTGTGTGTTCCCCATGGAGATCCGACGTGCTTTGCCCCAGGATATCCGGGAGCTGCTGCACCGCTTGAAGATGAAGAGCAAGTACGCCGTCCTGCTGGTCTTCATCATCAGCCTCGTCATCATCGAGAAGGAGAACAACTTCATCTCCAGGTAGGCAGTGGGCATCTGAGCCACCCCAAGGTTTGCAGCCCCTCTCCCCCAGTCCCAAGCTCCTGTGCAGCAGGAGCCCCCCAAGTCCCCTGCTGGGATGCAGGGTGGTCCCGCTGTCCTCCAGGCTGGGCTGGGTCTCCCCACAGGGTGTCGGACAAGCTGAAGCAGTCCCCGCAGGCGCTGGCAGAGGCCAACAGCACGGAGGTCAGCCCAGCACCGGCCAAGAACGGCTCGCTGGCCTCGCTGCAGGAGCTGGACGCCGCCTTCTCCCAGCTGAGGTCCCACCTGTACAACATCACCCTGCAGCTGGCAGGTGACGGGGACCCCGGGCCACGGCGGCACGTCCTGCTGATGGCCACCACCCGCACTGGCTCCTCCTTCGTCGGGGAGTTCTTCAACCAGCAGGGAAGCATCTTCTACCTCTTTGAGCCCCTCTGGCACGTCGAGAAGACGGTGACCTTCCTGCCGGGGGGAGCCAGCGCAGTGGGCTCAGCCTTGGTTTACCGAGATGTCCTCAAGCAGCTCCTCCTCTGCGACCTCTACATCTTGGAGAACTTCATCTCGCCAGTTCCCGAGGGCCACCTGACGCCCTTCTTGTTTCGGCGGGGCTCCAGCCACTCGCTCTGCGAGGAGCCCGTCTGCACGCCCAGCACCAAGAAGGTCTTTGAGAAGTACTACTGCAAGAACCGCCGCTGCGGCCCCCTCAACATCACGCTGGCGGCCGAGGCGTGCCGGCGCAAGCAGCACGTGGCCCTGAAGACGGTGCGCATCCGGCAGCTGGAGTTCCTGCAGCCGCTGGTGGAGGACCCTCGGCTGGACCTGCGCATCATCCAGCTGGTGCGGGACCCCCGCGCCGTCCTGGCCTCACGCATGGTGGCCTTCTCCGGCAAGTACGAGACCTGGAAGAAGTGGGCATCCGAAGGGGAGGCTCCGCTGCGCGAGGAGGAGGTGCAGCGGCTGCGGGGCAACTGCGAGAGCATCCGTGTGTCGGCGGAGCTGGGGCTGCGGCGGCCGGGCTGGCTGCGGGGCCGCTACATGCTGGTGCGCTACGAGGACGTGGCGCGGGCGCCGCTGCAGAAGGCGCGGGAGATGTTCCGCTTCGCCGGGCTGCCCCTCACCCAGCAGGTGGAGGAGTGGATCGGCAAAAACACACAGGCTCCCCACGATGGCAACGGCGTCTACTCCACGTGCAAGAACTCCTCGGAGCAGTTCGACAAGTGGAGGTTCAGCATGCCCTTCAAGCTGGCGCAGGTGGTGCAGGACGCCTGTGCCCCGGCCATGCAGCTCTTTGGCTACAAGCTGGCCAGCAGCCCCGCAGCGCTGGCCAACCGCTCCTTCAGCCTGCTGGAGGAGGCACAGCCCGCCTGGGTCACGTAAAGGCGCGGGGCGACGGCGGCGGCGCGGAACGAGGGGCTGCGGCCGTGCTCCCGGCCGGTCCGGAGGCGACCTGGGGGACCCTGCTCCCAAAAATGCTCCTCGCTGCTGCCAGATGGCAGCCCCAGGAGCCGGAGCATCCTGGCAGAGCTGGCCCCAGAGTCCTGCAGAGCCTGAATTGCACAATTTCTCTGGGAATGGGGAAATGGTAAGGGTGAGGGGCAGTGGGGTTGGCAACAGGGCCACCTCTCCAGCTCTGGAGCTGCACTGAGGAAGAGGAGGGTGATGGCAAGCAGAGGGGAACAGGACCAAGCACCTCTGCCTTGCCACCCCGCCATGCCAGCTGGGACGGGGCAAGGACAAAATCCCTGTGGTGCCAGCAAGCGCCCAGAGACCTTCATGGTTTAGTGCCTTCATACACCAGCAGAGACTGGAAACTGCCCACAGAGCCCTGGGTGGCACTTGGGCTACAACCAAATGAGGTGACTATGGTTTGGTGCTCTTCAAACTTGGTTTTGGAGGTTTGGGTTTACTTCCTTCTTACCCTGTGTATTTGCATACCAGGTGGATTTATTTATTTATTATGTGAAAAGGAGGGGGAGGCTGGTCAAGGAGCTAAGCCCAAAAATCAGAGCAGCACAACATACCACAAAGGGAGACACCCAGGACGGAGGTCACATTTTAGCTGGAGACCACCACGTTTTAGGTGGAGAGCACCTTCTGTATGATCCTGGGTCAGCCCCCAGGGTCTGACAGGCTGTAACCCCCCCAGCCCCTGTGCAGCAGTGACTTTGAACTTCAGCAGTGCGGAAAGATGGTCAGACTTATCTGATTAAAAACAAAACCACCAGCACAGAGTCCAAAGCATCTCCTGTCTCCTTAGTATTAGTGGGTGTCCCCTGCCCAGGGGTAGCCCCAGAAATGCAAGCTAACAGCACTGATGGGTGGCCAAACCTGGTAGAAGCCCAGGAAAGGAGTTTCAGGGTGTTTGCCATTTGCAGATGTTGACTCAGTGCCGAGCTGCACCCTCCAATTCACATTTCATTAATTAAAATGCCTATTTTTGGCCCTCTTTGTAGCTGATTCTTTTTCTCCCCTAGGTACTTTTGGGTTTTGTCAGCCACCTGAGGGAGCAGTCAAGCATTTTGGTGGAGAGTGGTTGTCTCCACCTCGGGCTGAGGGGTCCCAGCAGCCGCACGTCCCCTTCTCCGCAGCTAGAGCTGTTGGCCAAAAGCAGAAATAAATAAACTAAGCGAGGCGGCAGCTGGCCACAGCTGGGCTGCCTTTGCTGGCCGGGAGGAAGGCGGTGGGGCTCCGGCGAAGGGCTGCGGCTGGGCTGAGCTCACAAAAGCTGCGTTTTTGACCCAAAAGGGAGAACAGAGGCGGCATTGAGGAGCGCGGGGCCGGCCGGCGGGGAGCAGCACACCGCAGCCACGGGCAGCCATCCCCGGCTGCGGAGGATTTCCGAGCAGGGCCGGCCTGCATCAGGCTTCAAGGTGTGATTTCAGGGCCAGCTGGATGGGGAAAGGGCACAAAAGTGGAGATTTTTGGCAAACCCTCATCGCTCACAGGCGACGGAGAGCGTCAGCCTCCTCCCCGCCTCACACACAGCTCTCGGCATCACAAGCAGCTCTGGGGCTGCTGAGTGAATCGGGTTTTGTTCGGAGGTTCCTGCTGGGAAAGCAGCAGGGTCACTGAGGTCAGATGGATATTCCGCAGCTGCGCGCCGGGAAAAGCCCACAGAGCTCAGCCAGCGTGAGGGGGAACGAAGTCGGACACAGCGTCCTGGTGAATGCCTCTGGAAAAGCACCATTAGGCATGCTTTTGCAGAGAAAATAATTGTAGGGTAATTGTTTGTGAAATAGCATGAGGGGTGAGTAGCTACTGAGCCAAGAGGGGACATTGGAGAGTGGCCACCATCCCCCTCCCATCCCACCGCGGGTGGAGGCGCCTCTGGGCTTGGAGAGTCGGGTCCAGGGGCAAGGACAGCAAATCCAGGAGCAAAACAAGCGGTGAGGGAAGTGGGAGCTGGGCTGAGCCGAGGCCAGAGAACAGAACAAATAAGAACAGATAGACTAAGTTGGAAAAGGGCTTAAAGATCATCCAGTGCAACACCTCAACTAAACAATGGCACTAAGTGCCACATCCAGTCTGTTTTTAACACATCCAGGGATAGTGACTCCACCACTTCCCTGGGTAGGCCATTCCAGAACTTCATCACCCTTTCTCTAAAAAACTTTTCCCTCATATCCAACCTATATTCCCTTGGTGCAGCTTAACACTGTGTCCTCTGGTTCTCCCAGTGCTGCCTGCAGAAAGAGACCAACACCAGCTGAGCACAGCCACCTTTCAGGGAGCTGTAGAGAGTGACAAGGTCACCCCTAAGTCTCCTTTTCTCCAGGCTGAGCACCCCCAGCTTGTCGGAATCTGTGGGTATTGGTGATTCCGAGGTTGTAGAAAGTCTCTGTCTTTCTGCCCCATTGCCAAAGAAGAAGCCATAATTTGTCTGTGCTGGTTTCAAGGTTGTTTATTCTGTTTATCTCTAACATGTTCTGCTGCCCTGCCGCAGCTCTGTCCTGCAGGGCAGCGTGTGGGGCTCTGCCCTCAGTGGGATGGTACAAACATTAAATACCAGAAACTACCTGTGCTGGATTTACAATAACGTGCCAATATCTGTCACCTACGTTGGACAGTGTGTCCCCAGCCTAAACCAACAGAAAAATGCCAACACCACAGTGAAACATGGAGGGCATGAAGAAGGAGAAAAAGGACAGGACACACCCAATTTCCTCCATCTTGTCCCCTCTGAACCCCTAATCTAGAAACCTAAAATTTTACTTTTGCACCCGTGTCACACTTAATTATTACTCTTATCAAACACTCAAAGCTTGTAATTCATCCTGTAAGACTGAAAACTCTTTTCCATGGACAGAGATCACAGACAGTGTCTCTGGGGGCTCTGTCCAGGGGGGTTCCTGACCCCTGCCAGGGTCCCAGACCTGCCAGGACAGCCAGAGGGAAGCCCTGGATTCCCACACCAGCTCCCTCAGGGGTTTGTGTTCCCAGCCCCTCTCCAGCCTCGGTGCATCCTCTTCCCAAACTGAGGGGCCAGAGCTGGACACAGCACTCGAGGTGTGCCCTCAGCAGTGCTGAGTACAGGGGCAGAATGAGCTCCCTGCTCCTGCTGGCCACACCATTCCAGAGTGGCAGTGATGCTCTTGTGCCTGTTCTTACCTGCGCTGCCTCTGCCCCAGCTGGCTCCAGCCTGGCACTGCTAGCCAAGCATAAGCAATTGTTCCTGGACACCCTCCAGCTTCCTGTCAAAAACGCCTCAGGACAGAGAGAAAACATGCCCCCGACCCATGCAGATTGCCTCGGAGCTAATTGCTCCCATTAAACCCACGGAGGGAAGCCACAGGGGACACGGCTCCTCGAGGCTGGAGCAGCTGAATTCCCCCTGAGCTGGCTGGGGGGAGGTTTGTCCCCCCACAAGAGGAGCCTCCTGCTCAGCCTGCTCTGGCTGCTGCCAGGCCTTGCCTGGCTCTTTCTGTAGAGGATGAAAGGCATGGATTTGGGAGAGAAAGCACGGATTGGGAAAGCCATAGTAAGAGACTGCCTCAGAGCAAGGACATACCTGATCCAGACAGACCATGCAGGAAGCCCATAGCAGGAGCTGCAATGGATGCTGCCTCAACCTTTCTCATAGACACCAATGCAATAAAAAATTGTTTTAAAAAGTCAATCCTCTTTTGAAAAGATCTAAGCTTTCTGAAATAAAGCACTACTAAAGCTTGGTTTAAAATAAGGAAACAAAAGAACCCCAGCCTGCAGCTGTACTGCCCCCAGGCTCACCTCCCAACCTGTTGCTGCTGTGCTTTGGGGTGAATTTGGGAACATTGGGGTGAAGCTAATTAACACCAGAGAGACCTTTTCCACAAGCAGCCCAGAACAGTGTGGGAACGTATGTCCCATACGTCCACCAGCCAAAACTGCTTCTCCTTGGGGTCATAGGAGGTGACACAAGATGATGTAGCACAAGATGATGCTCAAGGAGAACTTGAGCAAATGATGGATGTGCTGTTCCCCTCTAAATGGGATCTTTCTGGGAAATGATTCCCTCCTGCCAGTCTCATCTGGAGTTGACTTTGGACAGCGGGTACATCCTGCTGTTCCTCTGCTTTCCTCTCAGAGCACTCAGAGCTGCCTGGGGCCATGCTGGCATGGCTGGGCTTGCTGTGGAGAGACAGTTCTTGCTGGAGGCAGAAGCTGCTGGTGCCAAGTCAGAGAGCAGTCAAGGTGGGCAAGTGTCTGAAATGCCACCTTAAATGCCCTGCAGTTTAACTCCCGGGTGGCCCTGCTGGGCCGTGAAGCCAAGCCAGCAGGCAGGTACACAGAAATCTATAAAAAGTCCTTTTTGCAGCTTGGCATGAGGTTTCTCCCAAACAGCAGAAGTGGTGGCTGCTGTGCTGGCTGCCCTGACCCCCCATACCCTTCTCCTCTCTTGCTCCAGCTCCATTTAATGGGATCGGTTGAGCTAATCCCCCATGTGTACTCGCAGCTCTATCAGAGGGGATTTCTGCACAGGGCTGGAGGGAAGGAAATCCATCCCACCAGCAATTGCCTGTCCTCACCCAGCCCCACTGGCTTCTACTGGAGGTTGGATCAACTCTTTCCTTCTCTCCATCGTCGGGGCTTTGTGTGGTTCTTGCAGGGAGCTGGTCCATGGCTACAGCTGCACCATCCAAACACCCAAACACCAGATCAGTCGGGAGGTCCATGGGCCAATGAGAGACCCACAAGGGCTGCAGCACATGTGGACATTTCAGCATTAAATGACAACCTTGTTTTCTGTTGTGCTTTTCTAAGAGACTGCATGCCTGACCAGACTGCATTTCTTGGTCTGCATCCCATATTTATCCTGTAATTACACCTTTGGACAAAGGCTGTCTGTTTGTGAGGCCCATTTTTTTCATGACACAGTTTTATTCTGTGCTTTCACTGTAATGAAATCTGGGGGGCAAGGGGAAGAAAACTCCCCACATCAGGAGTGAAAGCTGTTCTTTCTCAAAAGCTGCCCCAAGAGCAAAGGAGCTTGCACAAGCCCTCTCCTTTTTCCCAAAGAAACCCCAGCCACTGACATCCTTTATGCTTCCCTACCACCCCACAAGGATTAATGCCACAAACCATGTTATCCCATAAAAGAAAGTTGCCACCACACTGTCAGTCTCTGGGCTCCACTGCTGGAGGAGCCAGAGAATTTCCAAGGAGATCCCTGCAATGTTTATAGCCAGGCAGCTGACAAGAATAAAGCTGATAAAGTTTCTTGTTGGCACCTGCCTGGATCACGTCACAATAAGGGATGAAATGGCATTCCTGTAAAATTCCCAATGTCTGCTACAGGCTTGGCTCTGGAGGGGTAGGAAAGATCTGCATGGCACAAAACCCACAGGCAGTTTCAGGAGCTGTCTGAGCTGGGGTTTCCTCCAAGGGGAAGGACAGCCCTGCTTGGTCCCTGCTCACTCCATGCCAGGAGCTGCCATGAGCCTGGCCACCCCCATTTCCCCAAAACTGCCTTGGTTTGAGCCCCAGTTTGCAGGTGGCGATGGCAGGTCAGGTGAAGCCTGTCACCACAGCACGCTGAGCCTGGCAAACTCATCCTGCTGTACCAGGCAGGAAAAGAGGAGCTGGGCAGCACCCTGGCACAGAGCACGCCGTGATCCCAGGGAAATGGAGAACAGCTTTGTGGCACAGCCATGGGGTGGGATGGAGGGAGATCCCAGCTCCCCATGGCTCTTCTCATGGGTACAAAGACCACTTTAATTGCAGAGACCATTGCATTTCACCCTTGGGGCTTTCCCACCCTTTTCTGGCTGGGACTTGTGACCAATTTATGAGCTGGCATGTACAAAGATGCTGCCTATAAATACACATCTCTGACCAAAACGGTGATTTTGGTGCTGTTGTCTGTGGGAAGCAGCTTGTCTTCTCAAGCCACTGAAAAACTGGAAATGAAAAATGAGGTTTGTGGGGAAGAGAATAAATGTAAGTGGAACCTTGCTGATTTCTGCTAAAAGTAAAATGTTATGTATAAGGTATAAAATAGCCAGTGTTGAAGTTTAAAAGCAGCTAAGAACGTTCTGAATTGGTTTTTCCTGGTGATTCTTTGCCCTGAACTGACACAATTCTACCTTGGCTGAAGAAGAGCTCCCTGAGGCATGGGGGGCAACCAGCTCACCCTGGCAAAATGGGGAGCTGGGGGGCAAGCGTGGGCCAGGTGGTTTGTCTGGAGCAATCCCTCATCGCTGGGAGATTTGAAATCCTCCTTTCCCTGAAGCAAAGCCTCCAGGAGCACAGCCAGAGAGCTGCAGCCACCCTGGTGCCACTGGGGCTGTCACAGGACAATGTGCAGGACATGTCTGTGGGCAGAGGGAATGTGGTGTGAGAGGCTGCTGATACAGGAGAGGATTTGGGGTTTTGCAGAGATGGCTGTGAGCCAGAAACAGTCTCTAGTCTGGCAGGGAAGGATGGGGCCTTCAGCCTAGCCCAGGTGGGAGAACTGCTCCCTAGAGGAGGGTGAAGGGAGGAATGTTATCCCTCTTCCAGCCTGTATGGGTTATTGCAAAATTAGGGATGCCAAACTGCCCTGATGATGAGGGAGGGCAGGTCAAAGATGCAGAGGCTCACAGGAATCTGGGCTAGTGCAGAGCAGGGGCACTTGTGGCACTCTAAGGTCTCCCCATGCAGCACTGTTGTACCCATCCGTGGATTATCATCCTCAGAGGGATGTCTCTTAGCCCTGGATGATGTTGGATTACACCTGGCGAGGAGAAGACTCACAGACAGGTACATATACTATCTCAGAGTGGTAAACTGGGACAAGACCATCTCACAGAGGCCCTTCCCTACACCTTTCCACCCTGCCCTGCTGCAGGGAGTATTTGGTCCATGGGGCAGCTGGGAGGAAAAGTCCATGGAGCCTGCAGGAGGGCAGGGCAGGGCAGGGCAATCACTGCCCCGGGCCTGCCCACCTGCCCATGCCCCTCCGTGTCCCATGTCCCCACGGCCGAGCTGGCTGCACCCTCTGGTGGCAATGCTGACTCCAGGCCCTGCTTTTCCCGGAAAATTGCTTCTCACCCCCAAAGTTGGAGGGTGTTTTGCTGGGAGGGGGTTTTGGCACCGGGCTGTTTCGCTGAGGGAGGGCTGAGGAGCAGGGCGGGGGCACGGGAGTGTGGGAGCAGCTCTGCCAGCTCACAGCACCGCAGTGTGTACAGCAGCTATTTTTATCCACAGGGCCAGCAGCTCTATTTATACAGAATGCCACAAGAGCTGAAAGCCTTCGGGGCAACTTCCGTGCTGCAGAAGAACACGATCTGGATGTCCTTTATACTGCCGACCTTCTCCACCCCCTACTCCCCTTCTCTTGGGCCCTTTTGCCACCTCTTCAGCCCTTCCCTCTTTATGCCCCACTATCTCCACTGTGCTGATGCTGAGCTCGTGTCCTGCCCATGGTGGGGAGGTTGGAACCCGATGGCCTCTAAGGTCTCATCCTACCCAAGCCTTTCTGAGATTTTGTACAGCCGTCTCCGGGCTCCCTTTCCTGCTCCACTCAGAGCAAATACATTTTCTGTGTTTAAGTTGAACATCAGGAGAAATTTCCCTACAGAAGGTTGATTAGAAATTGGAAGGGACTGCTCAGAGAGGTGGTGAATTCACCATTCCTGGAGGTGTTTAAGGAAAGACTGAGCGCCACGGTCAGGTTGACAAGGTGCTGGTTTGGTCACAGGTTGGATTCAATGATCTCAGAGGTCTTTTTCCTAATTGATTCTGTGTAACTTCTATGGTTTTCCCCCCCTCCACGCAGCTCCCCGAATGAATCTGATCAGCTCAGAGATATGGGGCTGTGAGGGGAGGAAATACCAGGAGAGGGAAAAGTATTCAAAAGAGGCCCTTACCCCAGGGAAGTTGGAACTGTGGTGTCCATGGAGAGCGGGGCAAAAGAGAAAGAGCAGGAAGTTTCAGGGGTCTGTATAGGTTTTGGACAGGGTGGGCTCTCCTGGCTCCCCTCCAACCCCATTGGGGCAGGGAGGAGGATCCAGGGGTTATCATGATCAGAGCCACAGAGGCCCGGGGGAAGGGGGGCAAAAGGGTGTCCAGGAGCTCACCGTAACAATTCTGTAATTCTGTAATCTTAATTTCCCTCTCCAAGAGGTTGTTTCTTCGGGTGCAGCGGCCCATCCTCCAGCCTTGTGAAGGTGAGCAGAGCCCTGAGTTTGTGAAACCCTCGCTGCCTTCTCGCGGGGGGGGTGAAGCTCTCTGTGCTCGGGACTCGCTGCTGGCCCGGCAGGAGCCGCCCCCACACGCCCAGAGCTCCGGGCTCAGCCCCCGGGAGCCCGGCCCCGCCCGCAGCTCCGCCCGCAAAGGCCCCGCACGGCCCCGCCATGGGCTCCCGCCTGTCCCTGGACGGCTCCGTGCGGGTCGTGGTGGTCGGGGGAGGATTCGGAGGGACGGCGGCCGCCAGCCTGCTCAAGTCCTGGGCTGTCCCCTTCGTGCTGGTGGATGTGAGAGATGCTTTCCATCACAACGTGGCCGCGCTCCGGGCCGCCGTGGAGAGCGGTAAGGGCTCGGGCAGCCTCCCTGTCCCACCGGCACCTGCGGAGGGACGCGGGCAGCGGCAGGGAGCGCGGTGCTCGCACTGCCTTCTCCGCCCTGCCGTGGTGAAACACTTGAGTTTTCTATCTGGAAAATAAATACTAGGCACCAGGAGGACCCACAGCCCATCTGTGGTTAAGCTAATTGCACATCCACTGGGAAAACTGAGCAAAAACTGCTCAGACCATCCCTCCTCCCCAGCCCCCGCTTCCCCTTCCCCCCCTTTATTTATTTCAAGAGTGTAGAAGGTGACTAAGCTACAAGCGAAGCGGCTTGAAGGGGTGAGTCAATCACTTTCTGTATGTGGCCACTGAAATGTGGAGCAGCAGAGCAGGAGGCCCTGGACCATTAAACCCTGGCAGAGCTGCTCAGGGCTGTCTGCGCCCTCAGCTGGAGGCTGGGCCAACCCCATTAGTCCAGTCACTGGGGAGTTTAGGGGTAAAGTACCACGTTGGAGGCTGGGAACAAGCATCAAAAGGATAGCAAAAGTTTGGTCTGAGAGGCAGATTACTGAAAAAAGCCTCTACCACCCCGCCAGAAATTGCCAGGACCACAAAAATAGTTATTGGTAAACCCAGTAGAGGAGATAGAAGGAACAGAGACAAAGCCATCTAACCAGTGTAATCTGATCTGAGGCAAAGGGCCTGAAGCTCCCTGCTGGGCAGAGATAACACCCAGCAAAAGTCCAGCCCACAGTCCCAGATGCATTCCATGCTTTTGTCTAAGCAAGGAGAGCATGAGGGGAAAAGAGGGGGTGGTTAGACTCCAGAGAAGGAGAGCTCTCCCATTGTCTCCTCTTCCCACAGGATTTGCCAAGAAGACTTTCATCTCCTACTCGGTCACCTTTGGGGACAGCTTCCGACAAGGCAAGGTCGTGGCCATAGACCCTGGGAGGCAACAAGTTGTGCTCAGTGATGGTGAGGTGGGTGTTGCAATGACCGGGATGCCTTATGGGATCACCTGCTAGTGCAGGCAGCCAGCCTTCAGCAGGGTGTGTTCCATCCTCCTGGAGAACTTGGCGTCCTTCCCCGCACAGCTCCATCCCTTTCAGCCCAGCTAAGTGGCCTTCAGCTGTGTGGGATGTGGGTGTGCACTAAATACCCAACCCCATCTCCTGCTCAGCTGAGCTTTTATTCTTAGAGCTGGATTTAGAGCTCAACAATTAAACCTGGGGCTCAGATCCTTATTTAACTTCAGGAAGAGCCAAGAGCAGCAGCATCAATCACTCTTTTCAACCAGAGCATCTCACCTCTGTTCAGGAGAGAGTGAAGGAGAGAAGTTAGTCTCTGGAACCATCTGTGAGTGTCCAGCATAAATATCAAGTTATTCCCAGTAAATTTAGGGTAATTTCTTTAATTACCTAAATTTCTTTAATTACCTTAAATCTCTCAATTTATCTGAATGGTGCTTAGCTCAGACCTTGAGGAACAGTTACTTGGTGTGACCCGGACTGGGTCTAAAGTCACTTCCTGACAGTGACAAATACTTTCCTGGTTACCAGCAAAGGATGGAGATGAGGGAATGAGTGACCAATACTTAGGAGGCAACCACTGCGTTCTAGGCTCTGCTTTTAAGAGGTCTAATATCCCATTCTACCTTCTGCCCTCCCAGGAGCTTCACTACTCCCATCTCATTCTTGCAACAGGCAGTGATGGGCCATTCCCTGGGAAGTTCAACCAAGTCATTGACATGGAAAGTGCCATCCAGACCTATGAAGACATGGTTAAAGAGGTGAGGAATCAACTCTTAGGAATTGCTGCCTGCCTTTGTTCAGCTTCCCCGTCCCAGATACCACTGTGGCTATCTGGAGAAAGGGACACTGGGAGCAGCCAGGACAAGGAACTCATCATGGCTTCTCTAGCACAAGGGGAAACCTGAAATGCTCAACAGTATCACAGGGTAGGCAGGGAGAGTGCACAGGGCACATTTTCTTGTTGCCTCTTAATGAGCTAAGAGGTTTATTGCTGTTGGGCCTGTGCTGTGTCCCACAATGTTCATGGAGTGACTGAAGGGATCTGGCTTCCTGCCCTTTGCAGTTCTCTTGTAACACAAATTTTCTCTTGAAGATTGAGAAATCTCAGCGCATCCTGGTAGTGGGAGGTGGTGCTGCTGGAGTGGAGATGGCTGCTGAGATCAAAACGGAGTACCCGGGCAAAGAGGTAGGAACATCTTCATCACAATTACCTTCATCCTGGTTCTGATACTGTTCCATGATGGTGCTGCTGGAGGTACCTGAGAGGACTTCACATCTGCTTGCTGAGCCTGTAGCCAGCCACCAGCAAGGACTGTGGCACTAGGTGCCCCTTCCTGGCTTGTTCTTGCAGGAATCCATTAGGGTGGAGGACACCAGCTAGAGCTGCTCCTACCTTGCACACAGTGAGTCCTGTTTTGTTCCTGTGTTCCCAACAGATCACCCTCATTCACTCAAAAACTGCTCTGGCTGATGTGGAGCTGCTGCCCAGTGTCCGTCAGGTGGTGAAAGAGATTCTCCTCAGGAAAGGAGTCCGGCTTCTGTTAAGTATGTTCTTAACAATGCCTCTGAACACCTACAAGCTGCTGTTCCTTTAGCCAAAGCATCTCCTGATGTCCTTTCTTACTTTTTTGGTTACAAATGGCTCCCTTCAATTCCTGTTTCTCTGGGTTAGCTGGAAACCACAGCCTAGCAAACGTTTGTGACCCAGGGCTCTCTGTTGCAACAGGTGAAAAGGTCAGCGACATAGAAAACCTGAGGCCTAACCAGTTCCAGAAAGACATGGTAGTGAGGACAGAGAAGGGCACCGAGGTGGTTGTTGACATGGTGGTGCTGTGCACGGGGATAAAGATTAACTCTTCTGCATATGCTGCTGCATTTGGTAAGTAAAAAACCCCAAACCACGCGGTGGGAAGAAGCAACAGTTCTTCAGAGTGTGGTGCCTGAGGGGTGTGAGGTGGGGAATGGACTGTGTACAACCTGTGGGCGTGATTCTCCTGAAATATCAAAGGATGATGCATTGCACGAGACTGCAGTGATTAACCACAGCAAGGCAAAAAGCATCTCTTCCCTGACACATAGAAAAGAGGGTGAAAAACAACCCCTCATTTTGTGTCAATTACATCAGCAGCTTTCTGGGGTCTCGGGCCACAACAAGCAACACAAAGCTGCTTCTAAAAACCTGCTGTTTGGCTAAACAGGTGACAAAATGGCAAGTGATGGTGCTTTGAAAGTTAACAAGCACCTCCAGCTGGAAGGCTACGAGAACATCTATGCCATTGGGGACTGTGCAGATCTCAAAGAGCCCAAGATGGCCTACCATGCTGGGCTCCACGCCAACGTCGTGGTGACAAATATCATCAACAGCCTGACACAGAAGCCTCTCAAAACCTACGAGCCAGGTAAGGTCAGCTCCTAGCACCTAGCCTTAGGTGTTGGGCTGCTTTTCCACAAGGAACAGCTGTCCTAACTCTCATGAGACTCTAAGCTCGCTGAATTCACTGTGAAGGAACTCAAAATTGGGGTAATGTCAGCTTGGAGCTCAGGCTTCATACTAGTCATTGCCAAAGACACAGTGTAGATATTAATTACCTGTGTCAGTCTACCACACAAAGTGTTCATTCTTCACTAATGTCTTGATCAATCTCCTGGAGGGAGTCTGCTATTCATAGAACTTATTTTCTTTTCTTAAAATTGCTCACTGTCCAATTAAATCTCGGGAGTGAGATGACTTCCCTTTTCCTTATTTCTCCCCTTAAACTACAACACAAACTGAACAATCTGGTCTCAAAAATCTAGCTGGGTAATGGGTCTTCTTCATGAGCACTGATGTAAACTTAGCAGAACTATGCTGAATGCTGTTGCACGTGGATGCAGGGAAGCTGGATAACAGTTGCTTCACTTACACCTCTACATCATCTTTGCAGGGTCACTGACTTTCCTGCTTTCCATGGGCAGGAATGATGGTGTAGGCCAGGTGAATGGTTACTATGTGGGACGTCTCCTGGTGACCATTGCCAAGAGCCGGGATCTGTTTGTCTCCAAGAGCTGGAGGACGATGGGGCAGACAATGCCCTCCTGAGAGGGCACCAGCAACAATCCAGCAACTGGAAGAGGGTGAGGGTGCACATCTATTGCTTGGACTGACTCATACTGTCCTCTGCAGCACTTCCTCAGGCCATCTGGCACCATGACACATAAAAGGTGTGCCTGCCTTGCTGCGAAGGGGCAGGAGGCACTTCCCAAATGAGCTGTACAGAAGTTCCCACAATAAAAATCAGAGAAGAAATGTTTCTTTTACTCCCTTGCTGAGAGAGCTCTGAGCAACAAGCTTGGCTTACCTTAATTTGTAACAATAAACACTGTGGCATTCAGAATATCTGTGGTTTTTTTGTAATGTGTTGGGGGTTTTTTTGGTTTTTTTTTTTTTTCTCCTGGCTTTCTTTATTCTTGCTCTTCTAAGAAGGACCTGCTTTTTACAGATCTGGCATCTGCTCTGCAGCTTGCAGGGAGAATGGCTCACAGTGCTGCCAGGGTAATGCCTGTCTAAAACCTGAAAGGGTATATGGTAAGCCTGGATTTCAACAGAATATAATTCAGCTTTGTGTAAAAAATCTCCTCAGCAGCTTTAATTACATCACTTATAGTACCAAACTTCAGCCAGAAAAGCTGTTGGTTGTGATGGGGTAAGCACTGAATTACAGATGCTGCTGCTTTTTTTTCCTTCTCTTTTCCTTTTTTTTTTTTCTTTCTAGGGTGAGAAATCCCCAGAGCAAAATTAGGGTTTATAATAATAACCACACTTGACACATCTTTTTCTTTTTTTCTTATAAAACAAACAAAATCACCATGAAATATTCTCAGTAATTACAGAAGTTATTGTGAGCTAAAAGCAAAACAGAAGCTCCTCATGCATCACTTCTAAAACCCTTTTCACCTCTCTGTGGGCTGAAGGCAGAAGTTTACCATCTACCCTCAATGGAGGGGAAAAAGGAGCAGAACATATTTAAGAGCTTTCTTGAAAGTGGCATGTGTGTGTGTGTGTGTGAAGAAATCATCGCTACAAATCTAAAATGAGGTTACTCTTTAAAAACTTCTAAACTAAAGTAACAAAGGACACTAAACTCCTGAAGCCAGATGATAACTCAACTGCTTAAGGTGATAAAAATGGCATGAAGAAATCAGACTAAACCCCTCTCATCTCTAATCACAGCTCTCCATCAAGTCACAACACGTCACACTACTACCACTCCCCCTCATCGTCACATTGAAAAAATAAAACCCACCTCTAATGCTTTTAATGCTACTCAAGTTTGTTGAAAAATAAAGTTTCATTTGGCTGCCATTGCTACTTCGTGTCTAGCTTGGCCATTTCTTGCACGTAGATGCCAATGCTTTCACTGTCGAAGAGCAGAAAGTAAATGTTCTTCAAGGAGGAAGAGCTGGTGCCATCAAAATGGGTGGAAATAGCTCTGAGGGTCACCTGGGCTGCCGTCTGTTTTGGGAAGCAGTTTCTGTGTGGTCAGGGAAGAAAAGAGAGCAGGTGAGTGTTGGGCAGGGATGCTGGGAGAAGCCAGCCAGGGCTGTTCCAGCCACAGGCTGCTAAGATAGTTCTACTTGCAGCTTGGCAGACCCCAAGGATTTCATAGCAATATTCACCTGCTGCTGAATTAAGTTTCCTTGCTGGCACAACTTCTGTTTCCATCTGCTTGTACTTCTTAGGACCAAATTTTTTTTTTTACAATTTTAAAATTTGTTTTTATTTTTTATTTATCATTATTAATTTTTTTTAATGTTGCCCTTAGAAATAAATTTTTCCATGCCATGCTGGGCAGGCTAAAAATTTCAAGGATCATTATTTTTTTTAGCAAAGCATCACCTACTTAGCTGACTTCCTTGCTCTGTCATTAAAATACTGTGCTTGGGATTCCTGTGAAAATAATTGAAATTACGACTCTAAGCCGTATTAAGATCGAGATGCATTCATTCACTCCTCTTGATGGTAATATTCTCTAACCTACAATCATATTTATATTGAAAACCATCAAAAAGATCTGGCACAACTGAAGTATCCCGATGTTACATCAGTTACTGTGAATAGTCCCTAAGATGGGACAGAGGAAAACTAGAATTCACATTAATTGATATAGTATAATTCTTTATCTACCCACAAAACCATCATTTCAGATGCAGACACGTAGGTAGAGTAAAATTACAGCAAAACCAGGAAGTTCTATTTGAAAAACTGCCTTTTTTCAGGCAAATTTGAGGTCCCTTGATAAATGAAATGTAAACCACAGCATCTGGTAAGACTCTCCATTTCTCTTAGGAGGAATAATTGTAAGAGAAACAGAGTGAAATGGAACAAAGCAGCAGCAGGATCTGCACTGAGACTAATGGTCCAATAATGGGATTATTCTGATTCTAAACTCTTAGAAGACATGAAGTCTAGAAGCTATTTCTATTGGTATCAAAAGCTATAGTTAATTTGTACACTAAAGACTGTTAAAAAAATGTATCACATTTTGCTCCCACTAAAAACCATAAACAAAAATATCTGTATATTAAAAATATTACTAAAATGACTGCCCCTCTATTTAATCTTTTGTCCTGATCCATAAAAATATTTTTGCTTTGAAGAGTAACTGTGTAAAAATGGCATTTTAAACTTCTGTGTATTCAGTGATGTGTGGTGATTTCACTGATCAAATGCAGTTTTACTTTCATTTTATTCACTGTCAGGCCAACACAACAGGAATATACTATGCACTCTACTCTTTGGGCACTATGACCAAAATCAGTGGCTACATTTCAAAATAAATGTAAGCAACGTGAATTCTAGCACAAAGTAACTACTGCAGTTAGCAGTAAGATCTCATCATCAGAGACCAACAAACTGTTGATTTTGAAATAAATTTGAAAGAAAAAAAGAAAAATACTTCAGATTTCTAAGTCAAACACATTCTACTTGCTAGTTATTGAGAAAGAAATGTGTGGCTTCACACCTGCTTTAATAGGTTTCCCTTTTAAAAGCAGATCTACATTTGAGAAAAATATTTTCTTCTGAAAGGTTTTGTGTGACAAGTCTTTTCCATATCTATTATCAGGAGGGCTTAAGTGAACACCCCACATCCGGTAGCTCAGGTGGCATCACAGCTACCTGCCTGCAGTATTATGCTGCTATAATCTTATTAGTACAAATGCAGGTTTAATAAGACTCCCCACAGCAAAATGAAGGGACACAAAACCCGAGGTGGTGCAGAGGAATGAAAACGACTGCCTAGCAATAGAAAACACAGCAAGCCCACTCAGCTCTCCTGTGGGTTGGCTAATTTCTCTTTACAAAGGCTCTCTGGCAGTTTCATGCAAACACTGCACTTCAGGCTGGATTCCTCTGGAGCAGCTGTGTGTCAGATGGCAGCAGCAGAGGCAGGGTCACAGAGCACAGGGCACCTCTCTGTCAGCAGCTCTGACAGCCAATTCCACCTCTGCTACCTGACACAGGGAGTCCTACCTGCCGCTGGGAAACGGGGGGAAAGCCACAGACTTCAACTTCTTGTCTTCTGCAGCTGTTAAGCAATTCTTGACAGTCTCCTCGAGCTGCTCTTCACACTTGTCCGAGCCCCACTGTGGGATGTGACAGTGGATGACAAACTTTGCCGCTAGGCCGCTAGACTGAGTGAGTGCAGCTAACACAAATGAAAATATAACATTTAGTTTGGGACAGAAACCGCCCTGCAACGACCTCTCAACCCAAAGTACCTTCTTAATTACCTCACCTCTCCACAGAAATACAGTGTGGTTAAAATACACCAAAATGGCTCACTTGCAGTAATAACCTGTCTCATCATTCCTTCTGTGATCAATTGTTATTTCTTTGGAGACCAAAGAACCCAGGGCTCGTTTGGTTAGCACACAGCTACTCAATAATGGTTTTTAGCTCTCTCATTCAGCACGGCCTCTGGGCTTGTTTTATGCAAAGTACAAAAACCTCTCCCTAAATACAGTATCACTAATCCCCACAGACATTTCTGCAGAGCTGTCACTGAGTGCTTTGGACAAATATCCTGCATCATCATCATCATCTTTACAACTCCAGAGAGCTGAGGAGTAATGTGAAGATCCACTTCACAGCTGGATAATTTCAGAAAGGAAAATCAAAGTTGTTTGTTGAAAGTCCCCACCAGTTATGTCTAATTAGGAATCTCAGATTAATTTTTCAGAAAGTGTAATATTTCTCCAGGACCTGCAGAGCTTACAGCATGGCATCAGTTTGCTTTTGTTGCAATTGTCGCCACCAGCACAGTGGAAACTCTGTGTGTCTTGGTAATCTCAGGTTAAACATTCTGAAATCCTCTGTGCAGGATGGAATTAGCCCAAGGATGAAAATCCTGGATGTATTCACTTGTTCTCCAACACAGAGGAATTTTGTTGCAAGCATAGAGGAATTCTGTGCTACTTAAATTTTAACCAGGTGTCTTAATAATATAAAAGGAGTCTATCTTTTAGTTAGGTAGTGATGTTGACACAGAAAAGTAGTTTACTTTGATTTTACAGCATATAAATTTGATTTGATACGAAAGTGAAGCAAATTATCTTGTATAAAAATTTCTCTGTCATTTCAAATGATAAAACTAGGCTACTCAATTAGGAATTTTCCCAAACTAGACTATTTAAAGCTTTTTTTTTTTTTGGGGGGGGTATAGAGATACTAAGCCAAATAAGGCATATTGTAGCTTTTCTCCATCTGTCTTCCAGACACCTTCAATTGGTTTAATCTGTCCACAAAGGAAGCACAATCTCAGGTCACAAACTATTCCCTGCTACAAATGTGTTAACCCTTGAAGGGAGCTCCTCTAATAAAGCAGCTGCAGTGTCTGAGCAATTGCTCTTCCAAAAAGCGTGCCAGTTCTGCAGATTGTATCACATCTTCATCTGTGCTCAAAGTAAGATAATTATGTGGGTTACATATGTTTATCAAATATGCATAAAGGAGAATAATTTATGAAGTATCACTAATTTTTCCTATGCTTCGTGTTAGGCTGAGAGCTGTTTCTGATTCTCACTAAGGTTGCAGTACAAACAGGGAAAGGCGGCACAAGATTTCCTTAACTTTCAGACTCCCATACTCAGAAACTGCCTAAGACAAACTGATCAGTCGAAAGACAGAATGTGCACAGCACACAGGTATCCTATTCTTCCTTTTTTTCCATCTCAGTAGGCTGCCCATATCAGCAACAGCTTTGAGGAAACACATCACATAAGCAAAGACACATAACAACAGGAACAGATCAGAATGTCCAGAGAAAAGAACATATAAAATGAGCCATGTCCAAAAGAGAGCAGAGGATCCTTCTTACCTTCAGCAACTTCCAAAGGTCCTTGAGATTTGCGAAGCTCTTTCACTGTTTCCAAGAACTCTTTGCCTCCAGCCTTTTCCAGTGCCTTGCCTGCAAGGACACAGAGCAAAAGGCCTTGACTTCAGAGTATCAGCTTGGAAAAACAAGTCTACATTATTTAAAAGAACACTGTACACACACCATCCTGCCTCCCTCTATCAGCAGCAGCTGATTTTTATGTTTACCACTCTGCCTAGACACAGACAAAGTTTACTTTCTATGGTTTTGAAGAGCCCTGTATGCTGTTACTGGAAATTACTTTAATATAAATATCTGTAAGAATGCTATTCACTCCGATTCATGCTAAAAGAGCATGCAGTGGGATTTTCAGGACTCAGGCTTTCAGCCTCCAAAATGAACCCAACATACAAACCCCACTACTCACTGAAACAAACACAGCTGGGATGTCAGTGAAGGTCTTGATGACTCAAAAACAATGATCCAAAAGCTTGCTACTAGATTCTGTGCCCCCTGTGTGACTGGCTGAATAGCTTTTTATCTCCCTCCTGCTTAAATTTCCATATTCCTTATTTTGCATAAGCAGTATAAGATTTTGTACATGAGTATTTCTAAATTACATAATATCATTCAATGAAAGTCATAGTTAGAAATGTTAAAAATAAATAATATTGTAATGCAATTTTCAGATGCAAATGTAAAAATAAGCCAGTAAACACCTCAATACTAATTATTTACACCTTTGCTGCTCATGTGCTTCAACAACTTATCTGTGTTTTGCTTGTGATTAAAAGCAAACAAATTAGTGATTAGCCTGCTATACCTAGTCAGATCCAGCCTGATTTTCAGAAGCTGTAAGTGATATTTAGGCCTGGGCTAGGTTCAGATGAAGCAGGGTGGGATCTCAGCAGGCAGCCAGTAAACCAGCTACTGTTCCAGCTCTAGATGATTTTTTCTCCACATACAGAGCCTCACCTATTTCCTCCTTGAGGTCTATTTCAGCAGTTGTGGGGTGAACGATGCCTTCTACTTTCATGGAGCCAATATGGCTGATGTCACTCTGTGTCAGAGAAAGCTGAAAAATAATAATGAGGGGAAGGAACAAATAAATAGTAATCCAAGTGCAAAATCATTTTCATACCAAAAAGCTGGCTGAAAGAAGGCTGGATTCAGCCTTTCAGAGACCAGCTATTTTATTCTCTTCAGTATGTGTGATTCTGACTTTTAGCTTTCAATTAATTAATTTGCACACCACTCAGATTATCTGGGGATATGCCTACAACTTGGGAGCTTGCTCCAGAGGAAGCTATTACTAGAAAACTAATGTTCTGACATCATAATTTAAAGAAAAAAAAGGCTGATTTTGGAAATGCTCTGGCTGAAGAGAAAAGCATTCTTCCCCTCATGCTAAGCCCCCAGTCTGTTATTGTTCTTTATTACCTTTTGTCCTGGTACAAGGCTCTTGGAGGACAAGATAGTGAAACCATCCCCAGGTCCATCTTCAGTTGTTGAATTTGAAGCTCCTTCTTTTTCATTGTCCTTTTGTTTGCTCTATTTGATAAAAGAATAAAAAAGCAAGACTTCTTAAAGGAAACAAGATAATCACCATCTAGCATTATTCAATAATGGAGAGATTTAACTTACTACAAATCTTATATTCTCAGATCAATATGTTACTCATAGCCTCGTAATCCCCTAAGATTATGTAACAACAGAGGTCTGCACGGTTTATATAATGATAAATCAGTGGTTCATCTGAGGCACTACATACTTTTGTAGTCACATTCAGAGGCAGGGCACCCACACCCATCTGTAGATTTACTGACAATTAAGGCTGTATTTATATGGGTAGGCATGTGTTAGTTTATTTTTGTTGCTAACAGAGCAGAACCTCATATTAAATCATACTTAGTCACTTAGTAACCCAGTCAAATGCTCCAATTTGAAGGAAAAAAAAACCTTCTGGTCTGAAAAACAAACATTTAAGTCTCAGTTATTAAGTGATAAAGCCTTCTTATAGCTTACTTTCAGGAGCAGAAAACCTATCAGTCCTAGAGGGCTAAAAAAGCATCTCCTCACATCTCTCAATATTTGCTTTAAGGTATGTCAAGGAGCTACCACCTCCTAACAAGTCCAAACTCTGCATGTGCACAATTCAAATTAAGGTGGTAGCTGAGATCCATGCACAGAGGTATCCAATTAAACATCCCATTAAGCAATTCTGTTTTCTTTTTAAAGTCTGTTTCTGCATATTATCAGCTATGGAACTGTATTAAAACTTTGAAAAAATAGGCTTAATCCAAGTTTTAAAAGTTTAAGTTAAAGCTCAGTATCATTTAACCCTACCCAATGAAAAGCTCAGCAGTGTTTCAAGGTGCATGTTCTGGAACAACAAACCAAGAGCACTGATCTGGGTTACTGCTTTAGCAAATTAACCCATTTTGGACAGTGATAGGAAGATGGGCAACCCTAAGGGAAGGTGCAGTGGTCAAGTTCTGATTGATTATTCTTCTTCTAAAAATCACTAACAACAGCACAGCTAAGAACACATGAAACAATGAGCTTGTCACAATGACATTGACGTTCCATGTTGGGACAAATTCTCTTGGCAGTGAAAAATCTTTACCAGCAACCCAGTAACTGTGCAAGGCTGAAAGAATGACATCTCTCTGGTAGAAAATGTTTCAGAACACAGCTTCCTTTATTTTAAAAGGGTTCACTGCCACAGAGGTAGTGTGGAGGTAAGAGCTTCTTCACAATTATCAAGGAAGTATTGCAGAGGGTGACAGAATCTGTACCTGCCCAGTGCTTACCTTTTTGGACGTCCGGGCCTTGGTAGACTTTGCCTTCTTCCCACTCTTTTTGTTCACCATGGATTTCCTCCCTTTCTTCTCAGGAGCAGGGGAAAGGATGGTCTCAGATTTGCCTTTGGCACCCCGTTTCTTGGCTAGAAGCTCAGGCTGAATTCTGGGCAGGACACCTCCACTTGCAATAGTCACACCTTTGAGCAACTGCAAGGAGAAGCAGTGCATGGAAGCATATTACAGATCCTCTTAGCCTGCACCACCAAAAACAGTTAGGGAGAAAATCCACAATAACAAGGAACTTGGCAGGTGACAGCAAAGTCAGACAGCACATCCTGGAGAATTTTGTTGCTGCACAATCATTCCTCCCACTTCCAGTACCCATCTTATTGCAAACCTGTCCTTGGTGATTCACAAGCAGTGAATAAGGGTAAAAGAAGAAGAGTGTCTGTGGGCTACTTAAAAAGAAGACTCCACCACAGCCCTGTTCAGAGGAGGACTGGATGCAGATCTCTTTGGTAGGAAAACAGGTGCAGTGAAAGCAAGGAAAAGCTCCAAGGACCTGTTTTGCAGAGGCTAACAACAGGAATGGGCTGTGATACCATGTAGAGGACAAAATCTGGCTAATTCCTAAGAGACAGCACTGGATCTAGATCCCAGTTCACAGGTCACTGACCAGAAACACAGAGCTGGGAAAGGGCTGGTAGTGTTAGCATACTTTCTCTTCTGGCCTGTTTTGAATTTTTACTCCACTTGACTGGAAACAGAGCCACATGACTCCATGGACACCACATTTTCATTATTTAAAGCAGTCATATTAAGTGCAGGAGTATTTAAAGTGTGAATGACATCATCCATCTTCATACAGAGGAGATGCTCTGATCCTGACTGAACCTTTTCAGCAGCCCTGAATAGTACAATCTGCAACCCATGCTGTGATCTCTGTCCTCACTCAACAAGTTTAGCAGAAGTGATCCCACAAGTGATCCCAGGAGTCAGGGTGCTGAAAACCACAGTTTGGGCAAACAGACAGGGAGGCAGCAATAGCAGAGAGGCAGCCAGATCCCTACCCAGCATGGGCCTCACAGCCAGTATAACAGAAAACACACATTTCTACAGCTTTTGGGAAAAGGTCTTGCACTTTTTCTTTAAGTATTGAACGTCCCTGAGGAAAAACTGAAGCATCAAAACTACTTGTTTCAACAGAACTCATGGGCTAAGAAGAACCAAAGTTTATGTCCATAAGATTTAAGATGAGGTATGTAATAACCTTAATTTTTGTTTGCTTTTTTTTAAGAGGGCACAATTTTCTGCTCCGAAAACTGCCATCTCATGACTCAGACTAATCTGTTTCTAACCTTCCCTGGTAGCACCTTCACTCAAGCCACAGCACACAGCCTGCACCAAAATGTAAACAAGCACCTGATTCAGCTCCTCATCATTTGCAACTGCCAGGAGGATGTGTCTGGGGGCAATCCTTCCTTTCTTGTTGTCCCGCGCCGCGTTTCCTGCCAGCTCCAGGATTTCAGCTGTAACACATCAAGATAAAAACCAGTAACAAAAATGCAGCTTAGGTACATGCTGCATACACATTTTACACTGCTTCTTAATATCCCTTTACCTTTTCAGGGATGTTTCCAGATTTAAAGGGACTCACTTCTCACTAGACAAAGGCAGAAACCAAACCCCACTCAATATATCTCTAAATTTCGATAAATTCATTTGTCCTTCCTAATTCTCTAAAGGAGAAAATATACTAAGCTTGGTTCACATAATTTCGTTTAAGAGTCTCAAGTCAGAATTCTCTTTCAAAAAGGCAAAAAACCCTAAAAATGTACATCAGTAGTCCAGAATTTATCAGCAGCCCTGTGAAAACAGAACAATCAAGCATGCAGTGAAAGCCCCAACCTGGAACAGACAGCTCTGGCAAACAGCAAGGATTCTCAGGACCAGGGAAGATGAAGACTGAGGTGCATTTGAAGAAATACTTGGAAAGCCAACACACTAGCCAGGCACTGCTGGAATTCTGCATTAAAGGGCACTGAAAATCTGTGAGAAGCTTCATTTCAGAACAAGAGATGAAAGGTTTGATCCAGATGCAAGCAGAAACAACGTGAGAGCTTCAATACATGGAATATTGATAGAAGGGTCCTTCTACATCTCTGGGAATAGGAGGTCACTTCAAAGGTAGTTGGTCTAACTACCAGTTAGAGAAACAATATAAATGTTGTAACCAAAGTCACTGAGCTTTTCCTAATTATTGCAGAAATACAGACACATCTCCTTAAGTTTATTTGGACTGTAACAATCAGTATCATTCATTAGCTTACATAGTTTGACCTCTACTCAGAAGTTATTTCTCATGTAAGAACTCTACTGAACTCTACTGTTTCTACTGAACACTGAGAAGGAAGGAGAACAGAATTTTTTTCCCTCCAATTACTCCTAAAAATCATATCCACACTTTTTTTTAATTTTAAAAATATACAGTGTCCTTGTCTTCTGGGTTTATGTTTGTTAGTAACAGGAATATGAAAATTACAGCCAATCAGTGTCCTGTTGATAATTTATTGATGTCTTAATGACATCCTACTCCTTTTTACAAACTACATAAAGAACTATAACGACTATAAAAAGAAGAACTTTCATGAAAAATCTAGTGGAAACATACATAATGTCTGGCTAAAATCCAAACTATTTCAACATGGGGCTTAGCTCTGGCTCATGGGAAAAATACAAGCTTTCAATTCCACTCAGAATAACAAAAGTACAAACTTGTCTTCCAGTTTTCACTGCTATGCAGCACACATATTTAACTGAATGTTGGAAATGTAAAAGCCTTTTTAAAAATATTTATATACATATTCACAATGAAGTGTAAAAGTTAGGGCAGGAACCTCTCAGCTCTAGCATTTCCTAGTCTGTCCTGGATTTTAAAGGAGGAAACTGAAAAGAGATCTCACATAATCCAGCTATATTCATCCCCATGGGGCTGCAAGTGTCAGACCCTCTCCCAGACCTCAGCCAGCAGAGCTAACACAGCAGCAGACAGCAGGAACAGATCCCATCCATTGTGCAGACCAGCAGAGAGCAAGAAAAGAGACCCAGGCTCCTCCAGTGGGTTTTGCAGATGTGTGCTGACAGCAGAGGAAAATTGCATTGGGAAAAAAAAAAAAATCCAAAACCAACACATACTTACCTGGGTGGGAACTGAAGTTCTTTCAGGTGTGCCAACAACAGGCACATCCTGCTACCTGTGTGCTCACCCCACTGCCCCAGGTTTGGGTCCTCTGGCCAGCAGCATCCTGATGGTGCACTCTTAGTCCTCTGCCTAATGTTAAGAGCAAAAAAGGCAGAACACTCAAATGCCAGCCATCCATCACAGGACACTGGGAAGAAGAGAATCCGAGGCAGAGGTGATGTATGGCAGATTGTGGAATATGTACATGACTTACCAAAGGATGCCAAACATTTGCATAGGTAACTGATTGCCTTACCTCCTTCTAGTGAAGGTTTCTACTCCTATTTTTTCTAATGGTTGAGGCAGGGGCTCATAATCTTAAGAATATTAAATGGCATTTACAAAACACAATATCAAAATTGGAGGCTTCAGTTATTACATGCTCTGCTAACAATAACAGATCCTTAAAGAAACTGCTTTACATTTCAAGTAGAAACTTCTTAACCACTGAGTTTATCTAAATTGTAAAAAGACAAGTCTGAGAATATAGGTCCTATAATACCTATATAAATAGATATTATAGAATAGGAATATAGAATACAGGAAAATAAGAATACAGGTCCTATACCATAACAAGCTCTCTTGGAACTGGGCATCTTGATATTCTCAGCTATGAGTTAGTTTTACTTTGTGCGCTAAGCACAGGCATTAAGAATTACATTGAAATCTCAAATAATACTGCTTCCTGCAAGAGTCAAAATCCACAAAGGTGCCTCCACATCAGATGTTTAACTTCAAATCCAGACATCTTCAGAAGCACATAACTCTCTTCCAGCAGAGACAAGCTGCAGCCAAGTTATGACCTGAATAGAATTACATCTTGTCATCCTGTGACATACAGGGAAAAAGAGGTTTCTTTAGCGGATGGATCAGCAAATTTGAAATGTCTGGGAACTAAAGCATCCTAGCCACGCCAAAGGTTTTTGTTCAGCTGAGCTTGTAGGAAAGTGGACTGCTAAGATCTATGAGAATTACTGATAGCAAATGGAAAGATTTCATCCAGGTTGTCTTGTTTTCCACCTCATCTTCAGGAGAAATTGTGTCAGCTCCTGTTACACTACCACATAAAAATCTACCTTTACTCTGCAAAAATCTATTAATGATGGAGTCTGTGTCCTCCATTTACAGGTGGAAAGATGCTGGATTTGTCTCTGCATGGCAGATGAGCACAACAGACAGAGGAGTATTCCAGGTGACTCCTATGATGAAGGAAGCCTTTGCTGGTGGTGTGTTCTGCCCTAATTTAGACAGGATGGCTTTCCATTGAGATCTTCCACAAGTTCCTCTGACCAGCACACCCTGACATGACTTGTGCTTCCCCATCAAGGAGCTTCTATATTCTCTGCCTACTTTTTGGGAAGATGCCCTGTGGGACATATGCAGTTGATGTTTGCTTTGGGTGGCTGTGCCTGCAGCTCTGTGCACACTCAGACCATGAGTCTGTTGCAAAGTCCCAGTCAGATGGGACTCAGGCCAATTTTTCAGAGAATTTAAACTCTGAAGCCAGTGGAATTCTCAGCAAACACAACCTTCTGGATAGGAATTAAGCTGCAGTTTTACAATATGATTTTCAAGCCTAAAATGTAAAACAGCACAGAGATTAAAAAGAAAGGTTTAGAACCGTGAGGAGATCTTCATATTAGCTGATCAGTTGAGGTGAAAGTACCTCTTCCTGAGATTCTGCCACCTCTACACTGTGGTGATCGCTGGCATTTTAATGATGGGGTTGATCAGGCAAAGTGCACATTTAGGGGTGATAATGGCTGTGAAGTGCTGCCACGATCAATCTGGCTTGCAAAGGAAAAAAACAGGGGTCTTGTATCTCTGTGGCACAGAACACATACCAAAGCCAAACAGCAGCCTCAACTTCATAAACTGGGAGTAAGAATGCTCCAGATGTATGTGCACCCTCTGGATGATGCCAGCCACGAGGCTCAGCGCTCTGGGGCAGCACAAATACAGGCCAACAGCAGACCACACAGGACTGGTCACTCACAGAGATCTGCTGGCCCATGCCAGCCCTGGAGGAATGCAGGCACTCAGGTGGTTCTGGTTCTGTCTGACCCTTCCAGCCTCATCCACCTCGCCCCTATCCCAGCCATGACCTGCTTCCCCACAGCTCCAATCTCCCTTCCCTGGCAAGCCACACCAAGACTTCTATCTCAGCACCTTTCCTGAACAGTCACTGCTTTTTCTCTCTATTCAGGCTCAATATTCCTGCCCAGGTTCTTCACGACCAGCACCCACTCCATCCAATCCTTGGCCTATTTCCTATTTTTTCAACTTGCTCTCCAGCTTCCTAGCAGGAAATCTGGACACTCCTCACCAATTATTTGCCTACTGCCAGTAGCCAGACCTATCCCTGCTCCTGTCTCTAACATCAATATTCTTCTTCCACAACCACTGCCTCCCAACAATGTTATGATTTGGGAGCTGAGAGAGGCTGGAACATGTTCAGTGAGGACCAAGTCTTCAGAGATTTTAGATGGTAAAGTCAAAGAAGTCCCTGCTGAGCATGAGCAACCTGTATTTTATCAAAGTTAGAGGTTGGCCAAAGAGAACAGATTTCTCTGAGGTGGCAGAGACCACCCTTCCCCTTTTGTAAAACAGCAAACCTCTGCTCAAACACAGAGAAGCACTCAGGGGTTTAGAGGAGAAGTTTTCCTGGATGTTTTAACATAACAAAAAAATATGTCCAACCTGCTTCTGTGAAACAGCTAAAAAGTGACAGTCCCTTATTGCCACCCTCCCAGATTTAGCCTGAAGGAGTTCCCCTGCATGCAGCCTTTCATCCTAAGGAACCACCATTTCACAGCTGCAAATCCAGAAGAAAAGAATGACACTTGTAATAGAAAGATCAGATAATGTTAAGAAAATTTAGCTGTTTGACATATACTACCCTTGGAAAAACCTATTTTGTTTCTAGAGGCTTCCCAAAACCAATGACTTTATTCACCTGTAATATTAGCAATAACTAGATCAGTAGGGCTAGATGCTGCAATGCTTTTTTTTTTTTTTTTTTTTTTCTGACTGAACTCTCCACCTTTGTAATATTTCCAAACAAGACCCTGGATAGAGCACGGGAACTTTGGTTTGGAAGGAACACAATCCACCACAGATGTTTGCCAGAAACATTACTCCATTCCATCACAATATATACAGGAGTTCTCTGCTGAACCAAACAGCTGAAAATAGTATTCCCTTACAATTTATGTGGGCTCCCAGCCTACACCTCTAGCAATCTTCTTGCCTGGTTGACTACACATTGTTTTTTTTCCAAAGCAAAGTGTAGGCCCACACATAATCTACTCATATCAGATTAATGATTTAAATTAAACTGCTCTTACTATCCAGGAGCAGAGCCAAGACATACATTGTTCTAGTTCAGGTAATAGGCAAACAGTGCTGACCACAAGTTAGTCTGCACCACTGAAATGTTGCACATACCAGATGTGCTGCTGACAATTTATTACAGCACCTTGTAAAAATTGCCACAGCTCAGAACAAGCATCTCCAAATGTTTATCCAAGAAATATCTCCCTATGGAGTAAGACAAGAAAATAAGTGTTTCTCTCCAGACAGAAAGTCAGCAGAGTCACAATGCATCACATTATGTTATAAAAGTTATTGTGATTTTTTCAACACAAGCAATGCTTTGTCACTCCAGCTCCAGAAGTAGCCTCAGGGAAAAAAAAAAAAAAAAAAAAATTGATTCTCATCCTGGAATGTACTGCCACAAACATGGACATTTTCATAATGTACTATTAGGCTTCATGATAAATTTAGTGTTAACAGTAAAATTGTGAAATTAGTGAAATTTATTAGTGAGATCTCAGATTTTCTCCACACCTTTGAAGGAAAATAATGCTTTTATTGTCTGGTAGTGAGAACAAGCTTCACATGTAAAAAAGACGGCAGTGTTTACATAAAATCTGTTGCATGGACAACCAGGCTCCATGCAAGCTACTTCATGCCACCTTGGCAATAAACTACACTCCTGAAACACAACTCACTCAACTAATTCCATCCAGGTTGTGACTCCTCACAGATTCTCCAATGCACCTCAGTCTTGATCTGTAACCCCCAAGTACCCTGAACCAGAATCCTCTCTGCTCCAGGAACTATAACCATTTGCTGAAGTGCTATTTTCCATAATTAAACAAGAAACTCAGCAGATATGATCAAAGGACACTCTGAAATACTTCTGTACAGAATCACAGCACATTGTGATTGTGGTGATACCAGGTGATACCATGGGACACCTGCCCCTTCCTCAAAGTTCAGTTTCAGAAAGGCAGGAAAAAGAAAACTCAGGGCATGTAGGAAGAATTAACCACAGAATACTTTCTTTATACGCTTAGGCAAAGCAAAAGGGTTTTCAAAATTTAAAAAAAAAACCACTTTTATATTTCATAATACTTAGATACTCTCCTGCAAGGAGAAATGCAGCTAGCAAAACAGTTCTGTCACTTAAAAAGCACAGAAGCAGCACAAGGTGGGTTTGGTTTTTTTTCTTCTCCTATTATTCACATTCCGGTGTATCAAAAAAACCTAATTAATATCATTTTTCTCTAGGACAAAAACTACACAGATGTGACTCCTTACTCTGCAAAGCAATAAAAAATAACACTTCCAGCTAGTGACCAAGCATGGTGCCTCTAAAGGAGAGAATTTCCACCCCCAGGAAACAAATAACCTCCTCAGCATTTTCAGCAGGTTTCAACAAATCCTGATCTCCAGGAGTGCTCCACATGTTCACATCCCATCCCGTGGCTAACCCTGTCCTCTGTGTGTGAGGAGCACTGCCAGGAGCAGCTCTGGTTTACCTGCGAGGTACTCTATGACAGCTGCCATGTACACGGGCGCCCCGACCCCGATGCGGTACTTGTAGGTGCCTTTCTTCAGGTAGCGCATCATCCTCCCCACGGGGAAAATCACTCCGGCCCTGCTCGAGCGCGACAGTTTGGACATTTTCTTCTTCCCGCTCCGCCCCGACATCTTGCAGCCTCGTGCTTCTCAATTCGCCTTGCTCCAAATCCGAGGGCTGCAAGAGAAAACCGGCAGGATTGGTGAGAAACAGCTTCACGTGTTGCTGCTGCTCCAGAAGAAAAAATTCAAACCCGCCCTCAACGCCTGTTAAAGTGCAGGCATTGTTCATTAAAAGCTGGAGAATTGGAATATTTGCTATCACTTTGCTTTCGAACTGCACCGTCAGTGTAGCAATAGCAGGAGCAAAGAAAACAAACCTTGTTTTCTCCTTATTTTTCTGGCAACCACAAGATTAGGGATAAATGCACAACAAACCCTGGAATCTGCCACTCCACTCCAAAGCTTGCATGTGGTCACAATTACACCTCCAGTTCTCACTCTCAGTCAAATAATGTTTGGGAAAGTTTTAACTCTATTTACAAAAACTGGTTTTATCTCCATTTTGATAGCTGCCCTGAGGGCCCAATTATGAGCCTGGTTACTCCTTGGAAGCAAACAAAGAGCAGTTCTGCCACAGATGGTATTTCTGCCAAGGAAGGTACAGTTACCTCACTCCCAGCACTCATTCACCTCAGTGAAACAAGGAAACACAACGAGGGAGACACTTGGAAAGCATTAAAATGAATCTAGGTGATACTGCCAGATTTTATCATAATCTTTTCATTTATGATATCAAAAGTCAGCAGGGAGCTGTAAAAACTTGGCATGCCCTTGTGTATCAGCCAGACAATTTTTTCTTTCTGCGTGCAATGTATGATGTGGGCATGATAAGGAAAGTTGGGAAAGATTAAACCAGTAAACCTATCAGACACAGACACATCAAAATTGGCATTACTCATCATCCCACTCTGAATTCCCTGCCAACTGCCAGCCTGGAACCACGAGTGGTGGTAACAGAGCTCAAAGGGAAGGAGAAAAGAAGTGGGGAGGTATGATATTAGTCTTCAGAGATGCAAGAGGATGCTGTGAAGGTGGAGAGCAAGTGTTCCCTACAGCAGTGACTCTTACAGAAGCTGTATGGCAGAGGGGAGAGAGCAGCACCAGACTCGGTCAGACAGGGAGGCAGCAGAATCTTCCCATCAGGACAACTTCAGAACAATTTGAGGATGTGTATGTCAGAAATCACTCGAGCAGCACTGGATCTGCCTTGGGACTGGAGGCCAGACAAGCTTCCTTCCTTAATGAAGTTTGCAACTTGTAAGAAACCCTATATAAACTTTCAATTTCATAATAATTATAACCCTTAAAACGTGTCCTTTTCAGTTTATGACAACTGACATCCAAATAATAATCCTAGGCTGGGAATTAGGTTTTTAGCCATCAGAGGAGCCAATTTCTGGAACAGCTTTCTCTTTAGAGCAACAATTACTCTTTTTGAAGTGGAATTTAACGAACGTATGCAGTAGGGTACAAACAGGTTCCTGCAATGCTGGCAGGACAGTTGCATTACCCAAGAGTTCAGTCCAGCACTGAAACCCCTATAGAGAGCCATGCTGAAAGAGTACACTACCTGTATCAAAATTGTATTAAGCTAACCCCTCATATATTTGTTCCTATAGCATCAAATCCCTGTTGAGTGAAAATCAATGGAAAAAGGCAGACGCCAAGGGATTAGATCCACAGAAAACACCATTGTTACACTTGATCTCCATGACAGAAAATCAAAACATAGTTGTATACAATTAACCACACTGATCTGGGCCTTGCTGTTGCATTATATAAATTTATGTTTAATTACTCACTTTTGGCTCATCCTTCTGTTACCATCACTGAACTTTCCACCCCTGCCTACTCCTTTACTTTCCCCTTCTCTCTCACAGGAAGCCCTCTGCCATTATTGACTCCCCTGCTGCCAAGCCAACTTTTGGAATCCCAAAATACTCTCCAAATGCACTGCAGGTAATGTTTGCATAATTCTGTGAGAGCTTAAATACAAGAAGTTTCAAAACTCTGCCAACACTGTCTCTGCTTTGCAACTTACATGGACCAGGGTGCACTGAGGAGCAACAAACAGCAGTGTGAGCAGTGTGCTCTTGTCTTGTTTTGACTCCTACAGGAGGTAATTTTTGGTAGAAAGCCAAGCTCTGGCATAGTCACAGCAGGATCTGGACAAATAAACATGCGGAGAAAACTCCTGTGAACGTGGACAAAGAAATCCCACAGACAGGGATCTGGTTTCCTTGCAGGAAGAAGCACATGAGCTCAGCCCTGCCACACTCACCTGAACTGCAACCAGCAGGTAAAGAGCTACAAGTTGAGCACTGCTGTCTTAATTCCTCACTTCTGAGGACACAGCCAAGCCTCAGGGGCTTATCAGCTGAAAAGTCTACCCACACTCACTCCCTCTCTGCTAGCTGATTCACCATCTCTACCTTTCTCCTCACGAAGTGCAGCCTCCATTTAAAAATAAACCTGTGCCACTCATGCCAAGTCCATCCTCACTGAGCTACAAGGGCTGTATCTGTATCTGGCTGCCGTGAATTTGGGCTTGGGCAATTTAAAGCAGTTATTTTCCCTATCCCTTAATTGGCCACAGCACGCTCCCACTCTGCCATGACTCCAACATCCCTGTGTTGCTATGGGGGATTGAGTAGCTACAACATCTCATGGAGCTCTCAACAATATGATTGCAAGTAGAGCTTTCCTCTGCTGAGTTTTGCCTTCTTCAGAGCCCAAGGCAAACAGTGACATTTTCCTTCTGCCTCCTGGAAAAATACCTAAGAGTCCACTTTCCACTTGACCAGGTTGTTCCAAGCCCCATCCAGCTTGGACTTGGGACACTTTCAGGTATGGGGTAGCTACAGTTTCTCTGGGCACCCTGTGCCAGGACCTCACCACCTTCACAGGGAAGAATTAAGGGAAGAGCTCCTTCATAACATCTGACACAAATCTCTCCTTTTTTAGATTTAAACCATTCCCCCTCGCCCTGTCACTGTCTGCCCATGTAAAAAGTCCCTCTCCCTCTCTCACACGCCCCATTCAGGTACTGAAGGGCTGCAGTAAGGTGTCCCCAGAGCCTTGTCCCGGCCAGGTTGAACATGCCCAGCAATCCCAGCCTGTCTCCTGAGCAGAGAGGCTCCAGCACCCGGAGCACCGTGACTTCCAAACACTGAGAGAGCTCCAGCTCAGCAAAGACTAAAATAAAGGAGGTGCACGACTACCCACACAGCTGCACTTCCCTCATCGCCAGCGGAAGATCTATTAGAACAGTCAGGAGTTGACAAGGAACCCACAGACGTACCTTGGATCCAGCCTGGGCTGCACATTCATTTACAAATGAAATATTTGTGAAAAATAACGCAGAAAACCTGAAGCAGGGGCTCGCTGTCTTTGCTAAGGCACCAAAGCACAAACATAGTGCTGTTCAGAGGGCAGGTGTGGCGTCTCTCGGACTCCACAACCACCCACACAGAGCGCGTTACCAGTGAAAGAAGCTTCCAGGGCTCCCCAAACCCGGGGGTCCCTCCAGAGGCAGCTCACACTTAGAAACAACATTGAGCGACCCCTGCGGCTGAGAGGCCGGGCCGAGTAGCGAGCGCTCGGACCCTGCCGAGCCCGGGGGACACCGCGGCCGCCGCGGAGCCGCCCCGAGCCCCCTCAGGGCCGCCCCGAGCCCCCTCAGGGCCGCCCCGAGCCCCCTCAGGGCCGCCCCGAGCCCCCTCAGGGCCGCCCCGAGCCCCCTCAGGGCCGCCCCGAGCCCCCTCAGGGCCGCCCCGAGCCCCCTCAGGGCCGCCCCGCCCCGCCGCTGCCCGCCACCGCCGCCCCGCCCACCGCCCCGCTGATTGGTCGCTGCCGCAGCCCGGGCTGGGCACGGAGCGCGGTGATTGGCTGCGAGCCGCCTGATAGACAGGAGAGGGGCGGGTGCAGCAGGCGGGCCGCGCAGGCGCCCCGAGGCGCAGCGGAGTGCGTGCGCGTGGGGGTGTGGCCGCGGCTTTCCCGCGCAAACGCTGCCCCGTCACGGCCCCCCTCACGCCGCCCTCGGCGAGCGCCGCCGCCGCTGAGGCTTCGCCCGCTGCCCGCAATGGGGCGGCTGCGGCGGCGGCCGCGCGGCCCCGGAACGGGAAGCGCTGCGGGGGCCGAGCGGGGGCAGCGAGCGAGGAAGAACCGCCCCCTCCCCCCCATACACAGCTTACCCGGGGCCAGCCCCGCGCGCGCCGCCGCCGCCGCCTCGCGCCCCCCCTCCCTTTATGGCCGCCCCTCACCCGCCCCCCTCACGCCCTTTCCCCTCACGGCCTCGGCCATGGTCGGGCCCTCCCGGAGAACGGCAGCGGCGCCGCGAAGAGGAAGAGGAGGAGGAGGAGGAGGTGGGTGGTGCGGCCGAGGAGAGAGGGAAGGAGAGGAGCAGGGCCTCGCCGCGGCCCCCGGAACCCCCGCGCCGCCGCTCCCCTCACCTGCCGGCGCCCGCCGCCGCCGCCTCCTCCTTCTTGTCTTCCCTTCCTCTTTTTCCTCCCCCTCTTTTCCTCCTCTCCTTGCCCCCCCTCCCCTTTCCCTGTTGGGCTCCGCCTCAGCCGCTCTCCCGTATTGTATGTTTCAATGGCGATGGCGGCGGCTGGCGAGGGGGCGGCAGGGGTTCCCTCCCGCTCCGCACATACCGCCTCTAGGAGGAGTCACCGCAGCCCGGGCCCGCTACAGCCCCCCTCTCTCGGCTGCGCCCTCCTCGCCCGGGCCCCAGCGCTGCAGCGGGGGCAGCAGCCCCCTCCCCGCCAGCAGAGAAAGCCCCCCCGACCCTAGTCCCAGTGGGCTTGCGGTAGCCGGGAGCGTAAAGGCAGAAAGCCTTCCCATCCTTTCCCAGAGTGCAGGAGTTCGGAGATGGAGAGGTTTCAAGGCGATCCAAGATTGGGGTAAAGCTCAAGGAGTGCCTGGTTTTTGTTAGAGAGATCCACCCATCCCTCTATCCCTTTGGCACTGCGTGCCTCGCCATAGTGCCTCTAACCCAAATATTCCAGCATCCCCAAATCGGTTTGGAACGGCCGTAACAAAGAGTGCCGGCAGCTCTTTGTGTTGTCTTGCATTGGAGCGTTCTGGGCGCTCACGGGCTTTCCAACTCGTCCATGAGGGCTGCAAACTTCCCTTCCAAATGGAAGCTGAGGGATTTTTCTTTTGTTCCCTGCAGTCGCACGGATTCAAGAGCTCGAGCTCCAAGAGATGCAATAAGCGATTGTGTTTTGAGTCTTGGCAGCGCCAAATCCATGAGCAGAGGCTGGTGCAAACAGGAGAGTACAGGGCTGCACCTCTTTAACTCATCTCAGGTATATTTTCACATCAGACTGGGTTTATAGCTTCATTCCTATACAAATACATTGTTGCACCGATTTTGCTATAAAGACATTAGGGTGCTACTGTAGTGCACTAGGAGATCCATTATTAACACAGACCACTCCTTGCTTGCAGTGTTGCTTTAGGAGGGTGTCTGGGAACAACAGAGAAAGAACCATTCATGCATTCAGCATTCTCTTTGCCACTGTAAAAAATCCTAAAAGATTCACTTGAGTTTGGTTTTTGGCTCCATCAAAGTAAGCAATTCTATGTCTGCGTAGAATTGGATATGGTGGGTAGAAAAGCAATGAAATATTTCCCCAGGTTATGTTAATTGTGGATTGTACCATCTCATGAAGAATGAGTTCAGGACCTGCATTTTCCTGTGACCTTGGGTAAAGCAGTTCCCTTTACACGGTTGTATTTTGACTGTCGTTAAAATGGAAATAAAGATACCTTTTCTCTTTTCAACCATTGAGTAAGAGCCTCAATGCATTGGTGTGAATTAATTCATTGGAGTCTGTTCTCTTCCTCATTTCTTTTTGAAAACAAGGTCAAGATGCCTTGAGACCACAGGAGAAAAATCTCATGTATGACTTATTTTACATGTAAAAGGAAGCCTTACCTTTATCTTGCCCGCTGAGAGTTGAAATTTATCAAAGAAGATATCTGTAGGCTTGCCAGTCTATTGAACCATATTGGGAGGGTAGGAGGAAGCTCAGGAAGATTTTCAAGCACTAAGCATAAAAATTAATGACGATGTAAAACCCATGTGAAAAGGGAGAAAAGCATTTACATGTCTCTATTTCCAGATACAAATAACTGCATCCAAAAACCCTTACAATCATGCATGCAGTACGTGGCCTTGTAATATAAAATAATTTGAGATGAGGCAAAATAAGCATCCCAGGTTTTTGAAAACATTCCCAGTTTGTTAGAGTTTAACATCAAATAGTTGCTGTGTGATAAGAACACGAGCATGTGGGAGGTCTTTCAAGGGAAAAAAAAAGTCTTTGTGTGAGGCAAACTTTCAACATTAGAACTCCCTCTGTTTCTAACAACATTTTTTTCTGTTTATAAACAGCATTCTGAAGAAGACGGGAGTGCTGGAGAAGTGTGAGAGAAGACACTGAAATTTTTCATAGTGTAGCACTTTTTAAGTCTGTCATAGATGTCTGAATTTTAATACCAATTTTTGTGCTGTTGTGATTTTAATAGTTTCATCATAAACTCATATTCCACTCTTTATTTCTCCAGTGGATACAGCCCATCCTTAATCTAAAAATTAAAAGCATTGTGTGGATATTTTATGTTGCTTCAAATGTTTCTGGAAGATTCGGAGTCGCTTGGTGACGCAATAAAGAATTTTGGAGTAGAGCAGATCAGAGCAAGGCAACACTGGAACAGTTACCGGGTGTGAATTGTTCTGCAGGAACAGCAGAACCCTTGGAACCAGCTGCTTTTTAGAGCAGGTAAGAGACTCCTGGTCACAGTCCCTGCGTGTTCCAGCCATTTAGATGGAGCTGCTCAAGGAAGAGCTGTTATTAACCCTCATTTGTGCCGTGCTGGAGTCAAGCAGAGCTTTCCCCACTCAGCAGGAGCGGGGCCTGCCCTCTCTAGGTTGTGCAAAGACCATCTGCCTGTTGCCTTCCGAGCGCAAATACAATCTGTTACTTTGTCAAAATAAACAACACATCTATCTGATCATTTCTAGCCTGCTGCCTGCTTGACTCCCCAGCGAGGAGGGAAACAGCCTGTTTATGGCACTCTCATTTTGGGGCAGAAGCTGTTATATCTCAAACATTGCAGTGAATATTTCATAGCTCCAGAAGCCAGAGATAGGGCTTCACTCTCGCTCGGGCTGGCAGGCGTTCAGGGTTGTCCTGGCAGGACAGGAATGCCAAGTGCTCCAAAAGCTCCATTTTATGTGTGTATATAATCCAGGGAATTTGATCAAATCAGTGTAAGCATTGCCTTGACATTAGGATAACCAAATGCAATCAAAGTTGATTTGTTTCTATATGATGGTCATAGAGAACAGCTGTAACAACTGAGTTCTGCAACTAATCCATATTTCTGTAATGAATGTTTTTTCCCCATTTTTAGCCATTTTTAAACCCTTTCTCAACTTTTCATATTGCTTATATGATTGTTATGCCAGTAGATTTGGTACCATGGGCTAAAGAAGCCAGAAAACCTACATCCTAATTTTCTGGAGAACTCTCTTTAATAGTACTTTCTTAAATTAGACCATCCCACATAGTTCAGAATTTAAAGTCTTTGTATGTGTCAGATTCTGACACGTTGTTTAACATGGGCTGATTAGCTGCAGTCACAGGTTAGCTATAGTGTGTAAGAAAGGGGAAGGATCTTTCCTCCCCAAATAGCAACTGATTCTCAAATGTGGCTTATTAGCTTAACAAAGTACCAAAGATGCCTTTTCATCCTTTAAAAGGAGGTTTTAATCCTTGTTACTTATCCTTAAATGCAGCTATGCTGACTGCAGGGATCATTATCTTAATTATTCCTTAGTCATATAAGTAAAAATACCAATGGAATGTTTAATTACAATCAACATGACTTTTTGTTGTTGTTGTGGGGATTTTTTTGGGTTTTGGGTTGTTTTTTTTTTTTGTGGGTTTTGCTTTTTTTCTTTTCTAATGGAGATTTACAAATATATCTTTCAGAATGAAGAAAAAAAGAATAAGGTAACAAACCCCAGGAAATAACATTGTTTTCACCTGAGGAATACATTGTAGGATCCTTCTCCACAACTCAGAAATCACAGCCAGAAGGGGATAGGGAAAACTCTGGGAATCACAAGTATAGAATGGCCTCTTCAAAGAATTAGAACAGGTAAAGACTTGTAGCTAAGGAAACTGAGTGGTGACTTGAGAAAGGACTGATGCTCTTGGCTTGGTGCTCTGTGCCTCCCCAAGGAATGCAGTTTTTTACATTAACTACTAAAATACCTATTTCAGTTTCTGAGTTTGAGGAAAGCTCGATGGATAAAACCATACTTTTTTGAGTGATGCTTTTGGCAAAAGATCAATGTGATAACCAGGCACTGCCAAGCTAAAAGGCAGAAATGCCTCTATCCCTGTCAATTTATTTAAGAGAACTACTTGCAACAATGTGCATTTACTATAGCACAGCTTTTTCATGCAGAAAGTGACCCATTCTTTTTCTGGGGACTCCTGATGCCATGATTTGGGTTTGGCATTTGCAGAACTGTATTTGTTTGTCAGAGCAGCAAAGATGCAGCAATGTGCCATAGCACTGTTTGAGCACCGAGTCACTCAGCTCCCTGTCTGCACTGAACAGATCACACTTCCCACTTCTCACTGTGTTGCAAAGGGATTCAGATCTGATTGATTATTCCTGTGCTAATAAGGATTTCTGTCCCTTTGCTGTCACACGCTTTGGTGTAGTATGGAGCAGTGACACATTTCCTTTCTCCTCTGGGGACACAGACAAGCACACTGTCTCCCTGGCTCAGCTCCAGGTTCTTTTCAGAGCAGCTTCACAGGTAAGGACAGCACAGCACTGCCTGCTTATCTGCTTTCATAATTGTTCCTGAGTTTGATTTCAAACAAAACCATTTACCTCATTACCTAATTTTTCCTGCTAACTGCATAGCCCTAAAAGAAAAAAAAAAAAAAAAAAAAATCTCAGCTGTGTCCCATAAATAAATGAAAATGTTTTGAAACAAGCCAACCTTTGGGTCTAAGCCTTTGGTTTGTCTGAGGTAGGACAGAGCAAGCCTCCAGAACATTTATTTATTGAGCAAGTGCAAGATTTCACTGCTCTACCAGGGTAGAACAATACAGGAGCCATCACTTTATTAACAAGAGTGACCTTGAAGCCTTAAGGAATGATAAAAGCAAAAGTTTCAAACACATACTCCATTCCCAGTTGGATCATCAAAGCATGTTTGTTTTCCTGTATAACTCTATACATCAGTCCCTGTTAAACATCCAGATCCTTGAGGGTTTGGCTTCACTGCAAGCTCACTGTCTGTACCCAGAGGAGGTCAGGAGTGAAGCACACTTTTGCTGTCTGGCCACTCAGAGCTAATGGACTTTCATCACAACGCTGATTGCAAGGAACCTGCACTGCTCTGCATTGGTGTTTGGGCTCACTCCAAAATGCACCCAGGCATACAGGAGAGGAGGGAAAGGGCTGTACCCACAAGCTCAGGGAAGGGAGAGACCTTCCAGTTGTTTCAGTTTCAGGCAATGACAACATACAAAGCTGATAATTATTTTAGCACGGGCATAACTAGAGTCTATCTCTCCCCTCTTTGCCCTTGCTCTCTCAGTTCCACACTTAGTGTGGGTTTGTGACTTATGGTTGATTAATTCCTGCTGTGCCATGGGAGGCTTCAGGCTTTCTCCCACTGCAGATTCTGCAGTGTCCAGTGCTAGGGCTCAGCAGATGTTGTTGCCTTTCCCTTACACAGGCACTAGGCAGGACTCTGTCCTCTCTCCAGCCATCTAATTTTATAGTGATAAGAGTCTTTTTGAGGTTTCTCTCCTAAATCCATTGACATTTCCCACCAGTTCCGCAGTTCCCGGGCCCGACTGGCAAACAGCAGATGGCGTGGTTGCCTCAGCACAGGAACCTAAAACCCACCCCCAAAGGGGACGTGAATTCACCTGTAAGTGAATTTATGGGCTCGGATTTGCATGTGGTGTCATTTACAAAAGACACAAACTATGTGCAGGTAGACAGGCATTTTTATAAAAGGAGAAGAAAGTATGTACATCGTAGGGAACAAATGCAGACTGTAATGGAATAGCTATCTGTGTATGTATTTAATTTATAAATTAAAATAGAAACTTCACTAAAACATTGACACAAAGGAGTAAAGCTTCAACACAAGGCACAGGGAATTCATCAGACTCCTCTTGGAAAACAATGGGATGACACTTTAAATATGATGTCATGTTTACCATTACAACCACCCCCAGCCAGAGATATTTTCATAACCTCCTGCCTGTTTTTTTAGCTCACTTTTAGTTATCTAAAAACCCATTCCCCAAACAAACTTCCTCTTAAAATCTCACATTTTTTTTCTCCTAATATAGATAATTAATGTAAACACCTTACTAAAGTAAGGTATTAACAGTTAAGATAAAGCTCTGCATAGCAGTTTTTATCACAATCTAAACCAGCAGCTCTGATAATATCAGCACTGGCTTCATTATCTGATAAATGGGTACTTGGTGATTAAACATAAAATTCCCATCTTTTACAAGAAGACAGAAATGCTTTGAAGGTGCTATATTTAAGCAACACTTTACTTCTACAAAAACTCAGCTTTATTTACTACTGAGGAGTGGATTCAGGAGGTTCTTTAAGTGTATCTCTGGTTTCCAGGAGAGGGATGGTTTCACTGAAATCACTGGATTAATTAATTAAGGAAACGTGTAACTGAAATTCAGCTTTTGTTCTAACAAAAATTCCTAAGCTATTTTTCACTCATACAGATGGAAATCATTTACCTGAATCCCTTTCCTTGTACATGTTGAGTGCTTAGTCCTTTAGTGTCTTTTTAATCTTATATCACACTGTGAAAAGAATTGCTTAAAAACTTAATAGTGGAAAAATATTTAGGAAGAAACACCAAATAATTACAATATTTCAATTATTTTATGATCAGTATAACTCCTTGTGGCACAGCCGTCTCTGCTTTTGTAAAATATTGCTAGGAATGGTCAACATGGAATTCAGAATTCCCTGGATTGAAACCCAAACAAATCAGCATTATTGTAATAACAAGAAAAAAGTGAAAAAGAAAAGTCAAGTGCTCATTTTGGCTGAAGAAGCTCCTACAGAGGTTGAAAAGTTTGTGGGAAAGAACATCCCTTTGTTCTCTTCATTCTAGCAATTATTAAGCGTGGAATTTTGTGGAAGTCCAAAAAATTCCAAGTAGCTAAACTATGTCAAAAGGAGTTGAAATAAAGTCTTAGAAACAGCACAATGACAGTAAAAATTACTGGTAGTACAAAAGTATACACAGCACATACATGAATCAATGCCAAATAACATTGGATATTCAATATACAGGCTGAAAAGCTCAGTGTGAAAAAAAAAAAGTGTACAAAACATTCAGATTTAAACATCTCAATCAGTGTCTATAGGAAAGACACAGAAACAATGCCCTGTCAAGTCTACTCACAATTCATCACTTTACTACAGCTACAATAAATATTCTACATCCTATGCCATCAAGAGGGGAAAAATCTCTCTTGTAAAATACAAGGAAACCAGATATGTAAGGACACAGAGTTGCTTCAGAAATCATTCTCCTGCAGGTCGTTAGTGTTTGTCTGGTGCTGGCTGATGAGCAGATTTTGGACAGAAAGTGTCCCAGTACCACAGAGTTTGGTGTCCAAGTGACACAAAGATGAGAAACAGGAGCAGTGCCAATGACACAAGCATTGCAGGTGTAGGAAAGGCCATCAGGGCCACGTTTCCTGTTGCTCTGAGGACTCTGAATGCCAAGGGGGATCAATGTGACTTTTTGGAGGAGCTAAATCACCAGGATGGAGGACAGCCCACCCACCTCCAAGGCAGAGCATCTAGAGAAACCCCACAGCCACTCACTGCACCCACTGGTGATGGAAGCGTGGAGACCCGTGACATCCACAGGCTGTCCCCAAAAATCAGGAGCTGCCTCCCACTGCTGCCCTGCTCAACATCTGGAGCTCATTCCGCATCACTAAAGCCATGAGAATGGGGTGGGGTGAGGCTCCCTGCATCGGGGGGATCACCTCAGCCCTTCTGGGATGGGGGCAAACACAACAATGAATGCTCTGCCCTAGTTTGCCCATCTTTAAATGCAATGGTGAATGGGAACAAGGAGTAGCAGAGCCAAGGGAGTGGGAATGGGACAGGTCACGAATGAATGCTGAAGGACCAGGTTTGGAGAAGGAGTCTGCTTGTGGTGGCCTGCACAGCCTTGCTGCCAAGTGTCTCCCCTCTCCTTTTCACTGACATCACCCAGAAAAGGCTGTGGAATTCACGGAGCTAACACTCTTCCTTTGGAAGGTTCAAAAAAAGGTGAAACTGCTCGGTCTGTGGCACTGCTGGTGGGGTGCAACATCACGGTAAAAGCAAATCTTTGCAGGAGAGCAAAAGGGACGATTTACTGAAGCAACATTTTGAAACACTACTGTGAAAAAACAATGGAATTATCACAAAATGGAATTTCACACTCCCAGCAAACTCCCACTGGAGACAAGAGACTGACAAACAGCATACCATGGAAAGCAAGTGTAAGTTGCACTCCACAAGCTCCACAATCAGTCCTCTCATACCTGCCATTAGTATCTAACTTAGTAAGCTCTGAAACAGCAGTTCAACAAACTCATGTTTTGCAGGAAAAACAGAAGTTTGGTAGGCTTTTCTTGAAAAAA